GATATATAGTGAGCAGGAACGAATTAGATATTGTTTTTAACAATACCATGGATTGATTAAAGTTGTCTTTACACGTATCTCATTTACAGTTCGTATGATTATTATTTCATCTAGTGCTACAAATAGTAAGCAATCTGCTAAGAGCAACAATATCATGTATTCTTTGTCTAGCCGGTATGTTATCATGAGAATGAAACTTACTTTGAAGAAACAATATAAATTAAATGATTTATTTTTAATGCCATCGGATCTAAGGCCGGTTGTTTAGATTTAACATGTTTACGACAACGTATGACTTGATTCAATTATTCTTTGATGAACTTATTTAATTTGACAATTACATAAGAATAATTTACGGAAGAATCCTAACAAAAAATCTAAGTGTATTCACTTACGGATAATGAACACGTTTGCCATAAAGCAAGATATAATTACCTTATCTACTGTAGTCGGTATAAAATCCGGCTATTATGTGCAGTACGCTAACTAGCTTATACTTTTATCATCATTCCAGCTATATTGCCATAGTTTATTGCGATAGATAGGTAGCCTATAACGACAGTTTTACATTCTCTTCAAATATGCTACATCAATATAGATAAACAAAGGTATTGTCAACAACGTCTTACATCAATTTTTAGATACTATATTTACTAAACGCCTAGGTAGACACCTGTGTTATGCCGGAAGACACCCTTTCTTGACTCATAATTTATATATCCATTTTATAATAGATAATCGTAAATTTTCACTATTTGTTATGATGTGAGACCTAAAGATATATAGGTATTGATATTGGGATAAATAGCTCCTTTAATGGTACAGTGGTCCTCATAAATATAGTAAATTCAATAGTAGCAATAATGTTACTTGAACCATATAAATTGAATTCTAGAATTTACTACGTGTACAATTGTGCATCACATTATTCAAATATCTGCATCAGCTGAATGGCTTGAAAGCTTTGATTCGAGTTAATGCTGAAATCCTTCATTCGCTCATAGAAAAAAGACTTGTTCTATTGTGTATTATATTATTATATATATATACATTACCGTCTGCAATCTAAAATGAGCCTTAGAAGATTGAACCAAGAGCTGATATACAGTAATAAATCGATTATCAATTAATACTGTTAAGAATTATTTTCGTCACTCATTACTAGCTTGGTCCTTCCCCGAATTAAAATATATGTTAACTATAGTATTTTTGATCCACTAAATAGATTGTACTATCCAGCATTAATAGTTCAGCTCAAATTATAACATTTGCATACGTATGGATATCAGTCGAGCAGTTAAAGCTTATGCGATGAATTGATCATACAAATTTCATAATGCATACCGGTACTTCTAGTTAGGTAATTTTGGGTTTATCGATTTTGAATCATACAAAAAACTCGCCATAAGGGTGATAAAGCGGGTATCTGCACTTTAGCTGTGCTCTTTACTGCATTATTCTTAAACTATACCACTGTGTATCAGCGGTATTTTAAAGCAACAAATTATTTCTGTCACAGTAGGTAACAGTACGTTATGGTAGGAATCCTAAAAAATATTGGTTATGAGTAGCCTTATTACATCCGGATGTAGAATCATGGGAGCTCACGCGCATTATGATATCATATGACTTAAATCGAAATTACGCAATTATACGTTATGTGTACAGCAAAGTATCACTAGAGATATACTTTTCCTCTGCAAAAAAATAGCAAATTATACTAGAAGTCAACGGAAAATTGACACTAAATTATGAATAGATTGGCTATTGAGTTAGTTAGTAGCTTACACAAAATCTAAATTGTAAACCGTGCCATGTATCTTTAAACTTAATGAGAATTTGATATCTCGTATTTCTCTAAGAATTGCACTACTATTAGGTCATATATCAATTTTCAGATTGTTTCTGCTACAATAATTTGAATCATAAGAACATGTATAAAAGAAATCGCGATAACAGAAGACTGATACTTTATTTTATGCGCATATACAATAGCAAGTTACGAGAATTTATGATGATATACAATAACTCAAGAAATTGTATATGCATATGTGTGCATAACCCGTGTAAGCGAACGTGATCTATATAGACTGATTAGCTTGGCGAAAAATAAAATAGTAAGTCATGGAAGAAATTTGAGAGATCCTGATATTAAATTACTATTTGGTTGTTCAGCTATTAAGCTAGTTTAAGACAGAGAAGTAATAATAAATATTTTCCGAGGATGGTAACATAATAATAATATTGATAAATTGATATCATTGAAGTATAAGGATTTAAGTGGTACATTGCGATCATAAGGCCTGTAGGGAATTTATGAAAAAAATAGCTATAAAATATCGTTATAATGTAATCTTTGATAATGGTAGCGTTGACTTAGTTGTTAGCAGAATTTAAAGTTACGGATACGCGTATTTACACTCATCCAATATTAATCTGTTGGGTTATGAACCAAAATTACCTTTAATAGTATACTATATACATCAGGTAATCATTTTTTATGAAATTAATCTTAATAAAATAGCTGCTTTCGTCATCAGCTGAAGACGAAGAAGGATAATCTTTTAGAGTTAAAACCTGAATGATCAGCATTTATAATTGTCGCAACTCCGCCACAGCCTTGCAATTTAAGTGTTGAGAAATACCGTAGTAAATATTTTTATTACTACAACTTTCCCTTTTGTATTTCACTGTTTCATTCAGCTATACAATAATAGCAATCTATATCTGTTATAAGCTTTTGTGCTCATACGCGTTAGTCATATCTAATATGGCAATCTTTTATGATATGGATTATCAGATAAATATTCTATCTAGACCCGTTGGAAATTTTTGATGCAATCCACAAATATGACAGTTACAATTAGATTAACTTGAGCTACATTAAAATTGTTTTTCTTTCATATAGATTCGTTGGCAGATTCATTAGTTTGAAGTACTTTTTATCTAAAAACCCGGCCTTAATTACAAAACTCAACCGAATTCTTGTAGTTATAGAAGGATGCGAAAGCGCCTATGTAAAATTTGAGAGATTGAATGTTTTGTTACTTTCCATGACAGCTTATCGATTCAACAAACGGTTATTTTGGAGCATTTTTTATTTATTAGCTCTGCCTTCATATAAATTTACCTGAGTCTTAATACAGCACTGTATTTGCTAGAAGATCTTAAGGTAATGCTATTAACTTTTGGAACTCATAATTTTGTTATTCTTCTTGCCATCTAATTGGTCTACCTAGCCGTTAGCTTAAAGAATTTTTTAATTTATAAACTTTGACTTCATTCTAGAATCTACTTGAACTCTAACTACTTTAGCACCACGTAAAACAATGTTGTAAACTTGAGAAAAAAATTCGGATTTTTTATTTATTCTTGAAGCCTTTTAGATCTAGTGATTTGGATTTTTTTTATTTCAATAAACATGCTGACACTTTTGAGGTGAATATTAGCTACTACATATCTGCGCTCGAAATCTACAACTTAAGTCCATAACGTACGAAAATAGAAATTGTTGTGAATGTAATAGATATTTTATCAGTATATTCTCTAGGTTAAATAAATAATTTTTACCCTGTATTCAATAACAGTTACCTTCGCCTTCGTTATCAATCGCACCTTTTTTCACTTGTCTACAAAGTACATAAAATAAACATTTCCCTGTCTAGGAATCAACCTACCACTTAGTAATCTACATCGTAAATGAATATATCATTACTTCATGTTCAGCAGCTGTCTAAACTAAATTTCTACATATAGTGTTATATTTAGTGTTAATTTCTTTGTTAATCATTCTAAATAAACAGCTTTGACAGCCACTTTCACTATAAATTTACGCTAGCTTCCCATTTTACATCACTACATGTCTTCAAAATAGGACGCGATAATTCGGATAATCGAGCCACGATTAAAAATACAAAAAAGTCTATATTCAAGACAATGAAAGAATTTATATGTATTCAGGAGTAAATATTATTACTGAATAGCTCAGTAGCAATATCTCAGCTGAAGTCCACAATTTATTTCCCATGTTGTTTATGCTTACTCTGATAATTCTTAATACAACCATAATATTCTGGCTATTCCTATATCTAATTCCCTAATTTGATATTCAGTAGCTTGCACTTACTGAAAGTTAATATATTATTCAGTAAATAAGCATTTTCTTTTTATATAACATATCTATGGTGTGATATTTCAATAATCATTTAATGGCAATCATTGCTCTATATTTCTTGGCGTAGTTGGGCAATAGTATTACTAGTGACTAAGCCCACTGTCATAGGATTAATTAGACGCAGGCACCAAAGAGTATCATGACGATCCAACTTTAGATGTTGATCAAAGTATCGGTAATAGGATATTATTAGGGATAAAATAATGGGCAATGTCTTTAATTTCATTTAATAAAGATAAATGAGCCATTACTATAAACAGATGTAATCTAAACTAAAATTGGAAACGATACTGCTAATACTTAATTATCGCCCAATAATAAAACCCTTGAGCGAGTAAATTATTAATCTAATCCGGAATGATCATTATCATTTCATTTACCTATTAATGATCGCCAAATAAGCAACATTAATTATTCATCTAGTATGACAGGCACAGGCTTCTACCCATCGGATTAATCCAATATTATGATAGTTTATTGCACGATATGACAATTGGCTAATTATACGGTTACTTTATTTTAACGTTATTGATTGGCTGCTATAAGCTAGAATTCAGCTTTTATAATTCAATTAAAAAGTTCACTTCTTCGATAGGCTATTTCCAGCTTCATTGAATATTAATAATTTGGTAAAAGTTTATTTAAATATAGTATCCATCTGATAAAATAAAGGATTTACACTAGTGCATTTTAGAAATGCGATAGCTTGTCAATACTTCAACTGGAATTAATTAAATTTATATTAATTTGCCATATAAAAAAGGACATTTCAAAACTGATGATCTCATTTTTCTTTTCTTAACGTTCAGAGTTGGAAGGTAAAAAAATGTGCTGTCTGAAATTAGCTACATTACTGATCGCTATCACTATCATTCAAGCAGGTAGATAAAAATCGTTCTTGTTATTCATTTTTGATTATCATAGCGTAAAACGTTATGATGAAAACTGAATTATATCTAATGTATAATAAATAAGATGATAAAGTAAGTAATTTAAATTTCTAAGAAGTCGTATTTTTTACATCCTCTATCGTATCATAGAATTGGCGAGCGCCGCCACAACGAAATACATCAGTCTTGAAACTTTAGTCGATAAAGCATTAAAAGAAATGACTAGGAGAGATGAAATTACAAGACGGTATGTAAATGAATGGAAAATTTGCCCCAAAAATAATTAGTAACAAACAGAAGTGTTTCTACAATCATAGAGATCATTTCTTTATGATATCTATCAGTATCAATATGCTACATTTGTTAACTATGCAGAATAAGTTATAGTCAAAGCAACTAGGAAAAAGTTTCATGAAACTATGGAGACTATGATCTATTTTACCGATATTTTTAAACTGTAGGAAGCTTATAATAATAAGAAAAAAGAATTTACAGCTAATAAAACTATTTAGCAGTACTATAATATCAAATTAATAAAGTACATAAAATATATTAGAAAAAATTGTCCATAAAGATGCCCAGTATGTTTTGTAATTCTCTGTCAAATTTCTAAATTATGCAGTATATACTGTACGCAATACACGCATTTAAAATAATTCATATAGATAAAAAAATGATTCCATCGAAATGCCAAATTTGCTAACTTAATTAACTAAGCTATTAACTAAATTACTTCATAGCATCGCTACATTAAATTTATTAACAATGTAACATAGATGAAACAATAGGTTATGTATAACGACATCTATTCGTAATTCTATACCAATTTCTAACTTTCTTGCGCATAAAATGACACAATAAGCCATAAATATTGGCAGTAGGGGAAAAACAGATTTCGTCATAATATTTATCCGTATTTATTATATCGGATTTGTTAACGATTCGTATATGTCGTTTCTGATGTAATCAATTAGATGAGTAAATGAAAGTAACAGGAAAAGTAATATCAGCAGAATATCATTTGCATGCGCATGCCAAACCTTATATCACTGTTCAGACTTGTAGTATGTATGTAAGAAATGATAGAGTGTAGATGATACAATTAGGAATTTGATGTATCTTGACCATAGATAGTAAAATCACTATAAGATTACTAATCTGTGTTCGGTAGTTGAATTGATGACTTTCTAGCTTCGGATTTCAGGCATTTTGCAAAGTGCCTAATTTCGTAAATTTCTGATAACTGATATAATGTCATTAATTGCGAGAAAGAATTTTCTCAAAATTCTCTTAATCCATTAATCATTTATGAATATAGTAAACTACACCTTCTAAATCATTCATTAAAGAGTATTACGTATATTTTTTAATACCATGGACAGTTAAATCAGCCTTAAACCTACATGTCTTAATTTAATAGCGATAAAGATGATGACGATGACGATGATAATGATCATAACCGGAAAAATAAGCTTCCACTAATGCCGAATGCCGGAAATATGATAGATAGCCTTGTAGCTACTGATCCAGTCGGGTAAGATGGAAAAAACTGCACTTTCAAAATTTAAATTGTGGTAGATTCTCTTATATCTTGTATTTGTCTAGTAGAATTAAGATTTATACAAACCGGATAAAGTGGCTATCTTTTGTTATATAGCTTGTTGAAGTCTGTATTTAATTCATTGCAAGCCAATGGAAATCCAGATATTCGAGTAAAAACGCTGCTTCATTTTAATTCTATGGATTAAATCATAATCATTCTGCACCATATTGTAGAGCCGATATTTCCATGATCGATGTTATTTCTGGAAACATCAGAAATAGCAGAGAAAATACTGCAAATGGAAAAGAAATGGTGAAGAAATACCATAAAGAATTATTTAACAAGGTTCAGAAACTTAAAGCCCGCGAGAAAGACACACAGAGTAGAGAAGATACGGCAAATATAAGGGACATGATAAAGGAACACTACAGAAAAAAATTTGACTTAGCTCATAAAATTAAAAATCGTGGAATAAACGCGCAGAATAGATATCATGTAGCAAAAAAAATACTACAGGAACACTACAAAAATTGTCTTGCTTTGGTTAACGAAATTAAAGCTTCTGAAAATAGTAAGCAGAGCGGAGAAGATATGGCTAAAAAAAAAGAAATGACAGAGAACTACTGCAAAAAATTATTTGATGTGGCTAAAGAAATTAAATCTCATGAAGAAAACATGCAGAGCAGAGAAGATAGAGCAAAAGAGGAAGAGATGGAAAAGGAATTCTATAAAAATAGAATTGCCTTGGCTAAGAAAATTATAGCTCACGGAGTAGGCTCACAAAACAAAGAAGAAAAAGTGAAGGAAGCAGTAAAAGAGCAATACAGGAAAATTTTGGCTTTGGTTGACAAAATTCAAGCTTACGAAAATAACATGAAAAGAGCAGGTGGGGCAAAAGTAAAAGAAATAGTAAGAGAATACTATAACAAATTATTTGCCATGGCTCAAAAAATTGAAGCGCACGAAAAAGCCGCACAGAATAAAATGACTCGAATGGTATTCGCATAACTGGATAGTGTCTGATAAGGAGGTCAAACGTATTCATTAACGAAAAATGCTATATCACTGCTACGCGCTATTTTGCAAGAGTAAAGTGTGCTTGTCGTTCTGCGTAATATAAATTCAATTCTAATAAGAGATATCTGCTTGGAGCTATTAAAAGTTTCAAGATATAGGCGTATCTATAGAATAGCAATAATTCAATTATGATTGTTAAGAACGATAAAAATAGTTAGCAACAATTCTATATTAAACTCTGTTACACTATTTAGTGACAAGATAGCAGTTAAAAATCTTTATTGATTACAGTTATATATTGAAATTAACAGTTAAACAGACAAGAGCATAATCTTATAATAGGATTGAAATATGAATAAAAACAACTTAAATCATAATAAGAGTAATTGAGTGTGTATGCGATTTCGAATAAATATCACGATAGATTGTTATTTTAGAGGTGTTATTGTAGTAATTTTAAGAAAACCGTTGTACCGTAATTACATTAAAATAGAAAGAGGCTTCAGGATCTTCATATTTATCCGCATATTTAATTATCTTACAGAATCAAAATTTACAGGCATGTTTAAATATAGATAAAGTAAAAGACATGGAAGAATGTTTTTAAATCAAATAATTTTTATTGCTTTTCATGATCAAGATAATGTTGCTTCGTGCTCTCTTGTACAAGATTATACTGAAAAATATACATGTACAATAGGTTATCATACTCTCCATGGTATTCTCTAGAGAAAGATATATAGAAACACGATTTTAAGTTTAAGACCACCATTTTACGATAAAATAGTCTAGTACAATTGCATAGTTTTATCAGCTTGTGCATCAACTCACCTTTTCAAAATGTACTTGTGATACTCCACACAAAAATAGTATATAGCCTCTATCGTCGCTAAATATGTCGATGGTTGTTTCACTTGTGGTCTAAAGATAAAATACTTCAAATTTAATTGAAATATAATTTCCAATCATAGAAAATAGTTCAAGTTCGTAGCCTTTGCCCCATATATATATTGCAAAATTTTCCATCGATAATTGTAGAATATTAGTATTTCGCACGATAAGATAATGGAATTTACAACTTGTATGACATTACCTCCAGTAACAGGTTTCAGCAGTAGAAAGTTGGACTTTTTGTATATCTGAAAACATTTCATTCTGGAATGGATTGAGATTAAATTATAAGTATTTGCAATGTAAGACTTTCTAAGTGGGAGCATACCGTATTATTTTAGTTTGTTGAGTATCGAATAATTTTACATTCATTACGACATGTAGCTTAAAGCTGAAAACGGTTACGTAATTAGTCCCCAAATTTTCATTTACTTGAAAAATAGATGTCGCTTGATTCCAGGTACTATCAATAAAAATCACTTGATCGAGTTGCCCATGGCTAATTTTAGAGGACAATGCCTCAATGGTACAAGAATCCTAAATACAAAATTTTATTATCACATCACAAGTACTAATGAATATAATTATATTATCGAAATTAGATTGGAATAAGTTCTAGATAATACATATAGAGTAGTACGCTTTACCTTACATGGATATACCAGGATAGCCTAAACATTATGGAAACAATTTATGAGTATAAACTATAAAAGGTGGAAATTTTGGCATGCAAGGACATTCATCATAGAAAGAACTTACTTTACTTTTATTTTTCACGGAGGGCATATTCTGTCGGAATTAATATTTAAACAGAATACAATCATTATAGTAATATACATGCACTATATTCAATGATGCAATTTTATAGTCATTGTATCCTAATTCAAACCAACCGGATAATGATATATTGATGTTGATTGAGGAGCAAATATCCGAGCATGTGATGTTGTACTCTTGGAAGCTTTTTCAGCATAATGTTTAATGCTATCAATAGTGTTATTAAAACAACGAAAAGAGTTTTTTAACCTTATACCAGTTCACAATAATTGCAAATTAGTGCGATTTTCAATTTTACTGTGTTTTAATAGAATATTCTTAGTGAACTAACATGTCGATATGTACAGGTAAAGTTACATTCGGTATTTGATCCGGAGTTAATCCTAACATAACATTGCATTCGTAGCAATAGTACTTCCTGGATGACTTGCATAGGTGGCATACCTGGCGTTCTTTATTCCTGCCATGGTTAATACCATTAGATCAAGGATAGAAATGACTTAATATAGAAACAGGTTGCACTGTTAAGCAAAGCCAAAGCATACAAAATAAATTATGTCTATCCTACGGAGATGTACAGTATGTTGTAATTTAATACAATACTGGACTATACGGCTACCGTAGTTTCATCTCTAGCAAGATTAGCATTATAGTTTGTAAAGATGATGCACTGTCTAGAAGTAATCAGGCACTTGAAGTTGCCGTATGCGAATACTCAAGCATGAAACAACAAATCAGCTAATTCGATGTTAAAAAGGAGTTTTTCTTTTTTACTGTAAGAGCTGTAGACAGTTGTAACTATAGTTCATCTTGTCGTGCAGCCAACAAGGCAGTGGCTAGCAAGCGATTCGTACTGACTGCTAATAGACATAGTGAAAATAGTATAACAGATTGAAGCAAGTAGGCAGCTATAGCAATTAACTGATTTGCACTTTGCGGCAGTTGATAAACGATACAGTAACATTGGATCAAGATGATCGAAAATCATTATGGATCATTGTTCGCGAGTAAACAATTGAAACAGCGACTTGATTACATACCTTAAGCCGAGTAATGATAAAAAGAAATATGAGATCCTTAAATACTACTGAATGTAATTTCTTATGATCTGCTAGAGTACTTGACTAGTTCGCATTAATATCCAGCAGTAAAGCAGTCGTTACAATTACGTAAGATGAAATGATCAAAAAGTCATTCTAGAAAGCAAGTTGGATGACTAATAAATATTGAAACAACGACTGATTTGCTATACCCTTCAATTTGAGTAATGACTGATCAAGGATATCTTGTTTTCTACATGACATAATATTATTCATAATCATAATTATATTATAATTATAAATAACGCCTTATTGTAAACTACTGTACAGCAATGTAGTCTGGATGAGCAAAGCGCTAGACAAGTTTGCTGGAGTTGTGGGTATTATTACCTTTGATCAAGAAGACCGACAGTCACTGCAGATCATTTGAAAGCGGTTCAAAATAAGAATCTACGATAACCTGATTACTATACCTTAATTCGAGCAATGGCTGATAAGGATATAATTTCAAATGCTTGAATTGTGGAGGCAATATCATACGTAGTTTGGACATTAGGCTAGCTGCACAACGAGTATTAAAAGGAGCTCATTTGAAATATGCCAGGTTGTTTTACATTTCTCTCTTGGCTGACTAGGTAATAACGTTCAATGGGATACCAAAGTGGTAATCCACAAGTACTTGAATTCCTTCTGCTTTTATACAACTATCAATCTTTAATACTGCCGATTTTAAGGGATTTGAATAGGAACTGGGTGCAAAAATGATATGCTTGCAGGCTCAGCTAGCGTTCTCACTCGTGGACTGGCAGCAGACTTAAACTCCCAAACTACTGAACACTGTACGGTTCAGTGTATCATTCTTGTCTTGCTATACTAATACTCAAGCGGATACCTCAAGACTATAGACTGACTGCTTTCTAGCACCGAATTGTGACTGTGTATGCCAAGCAATATGGCAGTAACCCGATCGTAGCTGATTTGCTTGTAAATATCTTGAAGAAACTTACAATCTACCCTCATATTTCAGCTAGAGTTTAGAGGTAATCAACTTAGCACTATTAGAAATGGCATACAGAAAGATTAGCAAAATTAGGCTGTCACCTTTGATTGCAAATACGGTAGAGCAGCACCTGATAGATCATCATCAGCTCATTTTGTTTGCAGGCTAACGTTTATACAGACTAGTATGCAATAGCATGCAATTCTAATTTTTCAATTCATGGCAAGAGTAATGAATATTTTGGGGGACCGGCTTCATAGCCTTGTCGCTTGTGCTTACCTATTTTACTATCTCGTCCTTTACTAAAAGTTATCTCTCACCAATGTACGTACACTAGACTCTGCATTTAGTTAAGGACTCTACATCAAATCTTTGTTCGCATCCGCCCATATCAATGGCTGACTCCATTTCACTTGCTGCTCCAATGGATGAGGTGATAGTTTTTACAAGAGACTGACAAATAATAATACAGAGTAGCCATGATCACTGTAGACATTGGTGAGGATATTGATTTTTAGACTCTTCGACTACTGTTCATCGCCATTGTTCTGCAAATCAATACTGTCTAACGTATAGTCCTGTACTAAAAGTGTCTCACAATAACTATCTTAGTCAAATAGTATTTCTAAAAGGAATTTATTACAAGGTTTTAGGAGTAGTAGAGCAATAATTAATGACTACAAGAATCTAATCTTAAATCGGACGTATTCCGAGCTCCAAGCGAAGTGAAGTCTCTTCTCCCTTGAGTTCATCTGTGCAGTGGTTATCTGCATTTCGTTCAATCCATTTATGACAACTTGATTAATCTATAATCAGACATGAGTCATCCAACAAAATACTTTCCTCAAATACTGTAGTAGTACATCATTACCTTCTACAATCCAAATCGTTCTACTGAAGATGTCACTACTCTTCTATGAACTTCTAGCCCCTTTCTCTGAAAGGCATTTTAACGACTGCAGTGTTTCTAGCCACATCAATCTTGTACCATAATTAGTCATCACCCATTTCTAATATAGTAGTTAGCAATCATGTAATATTAACTTCACGATAATAGCTATTCAGAGTAGCCTAACTGCATCCTACTGTATATAGGCATCCTTAGAATCAACTATGGGTGCATCACTACACGTCCAATCAAGATGTTTGTCAAGAGCAGCAGTCTGTAAAACCCTCTATTCCCATCTGAGTCCATACCAGTGGGTTATTTTGATTGCATTTGCTGCTTCGATTTGTGAGGTTGCAGCTTAGTCTGATACTGTAGAGCAGTTGGACATGTACAATGATGTTGTTCTATGACAGTATAGAGCTGTGTGTACTACTAATAGTCACTATTGGATCAATCCATACGCTTCCACTGTGTCACTCTTTCAAGTTGATCAGCAGCAGCTTGCAATACATGAAATGATTGAAAACTCCATCCGCATCTCGGCCTCGAGCGGGTATGCCACAGGTCCTTTGCACCGTTGATGTTTCTATGACAGTATAGAGCTGTGTGCACTACTAATAGTCCCTATTGGGCTAATCCATACGCTTCCACTGTGTCACTCTTTCAAGATGCTGATCAACAGCGGCAGCTTGCAATACATCAAATGATTGAAATCTCCATCCGCATCTCGGCCTCGAGCCGGTATGCCACAGGTCCTTTGCACCGTTGATGTCATCGAGTCATTACCACTGCTAGGCTCATCAATCAATCAATCAATATTATTCTAATTCTGATTCACCTCCAATTCATTATTGTCAAATGATTGATTGAATTAATTTGCTAAACCGGACTGGAAAACAATTTGCTTGGCTCAACTTGTAGCAGACCATGCAGCAGCTTGCCATCCAAGCCTGATTGTCAACTGCAAACCAGTTTGGCTGCTTGATTATTACAGTACCTGTCACTCCCGTTGGGGCGTGGCAGGCTGAGACTATGTGCGACTTTCTACAGTCGTTGGACTGATGGCTACAATACTGAGTACTGTAACTAGCAGACATTGTACTGTAGCTGGGAAGGCTAATGTGCACACTTGAGCGTCACCGGTATGGCAAATGACGCCACTTTTGACACACACACACACACACACTGGGGCTGTTTTGTGGCTTGAAAATCTCCATACAACTCTTGTCTATCACCCTTAATCGATAGTCGTCACTATATTGCCAAGCCATGTTTTCGGCTATACCCTCATCATCCACGCTGCACCCACTTGGGCAAACATCAACATCAACAACCGCTGGGGAATTAATACGTGAAGGAAAAGCTGTTGGAGCCGCATTTTATTGCGCATTTCCTACACGCCTACACTACTTTAGCAAGATCATTCCAGGTAAGATAGTTTTCTAGCATCGTTTTCATTCCTTTTAGATTGCATGTGTTTTAGTTGTATCTTATGCACTCATTTTGGACTTAGTCTTTGTCGTTCGAGTGGAGTTGATTGGGTTCGAATGCAATCATGGTGAAAACGCCGAGTCGTCAACCATCAATATGTTTATATTAAGCATGTTTTGAAATGATGATTTGTATTTCTTATTAGCTTTGACATCGACAACTTGCCTGATATCCTATATAGAGAAGAATGTTGAGAACGTGCTCTCGTCGCCTACCAGCTTATTATTTGCCTCGATCGAATCGAGTGCGATGGAATAGTAAAGGTGTAGGGGAAGGTGTTCCTTATAAAACGCTCAAAGAGCAAGTAGGTGAACAAGCGATCAAGGTACCTGCATCGGCGGATGTCGTGGTAGTTGGTGGTGGCTCATTAGGTGCCAATACCATCTATCATTTGGCCAAGATGGGCGCAACTAATGTTGTTCTTCTTGAAAAAGATCAATTAACGGCTGGTACAACCTGGCATACTGCTGGTTTAGTTTGGCGTCTACGCCCAAGCGATCAAGAAATTGATATTTTGAATTATACCAGACAACTAGTCAGTCATACGCTAGAAGAAGAGACGGGGATCTCCTCTGGATGGATTCAAAAAGGTGGCTTGTTCATTGCATCCAATAAGGAGAGATTGGATGAATATAAAAGATTGATGACGGTATGATGATCATAAATTCATTTCCTAAAGAACCTAGGCTGCATTGATCTTAAATTGTCCTTCGTAAATGTTGATTGGATTGTTTGTTTTTGCCTGTTTGATGATGATGCTTTCATCATCAACACTACCATCCACCAAACGATGCTTACTATACTCGTAATTGACGTACACCTAGTCTAGTGTAGTTGAAAGATGGAGACAAAGACGCTTTCTGAAATCAAATTGCCCACTTAGTCTGTAGTATTTATTGCAATAGACTACAGTACACAACAGTCTGTTAAAAATCAATCAGCCATAGCTAACAATGATGCAGGCAGACACTCAGCCTTATTCCAGCATTACAATCGTATGACATTTCATTCTTACTTTAGCTCGGTCAAAATTTTGGTGTTGAATCCTATGTCCTATCACCCTCCGAAAGTAAAGATGTTCATCCGCTAATGAACGTCGATGATATGTTTGGTGCTCTATACAGTCCAGGCGATGGAGATATTGATCCAGCTGGCTTTATAACATCTTTAACAAGAGCTGCATCAAACAAGGGTGCAAAGGTAAGAACATCATGCTCTCCTCTCTTCTAACTTTGTGCAGATCTTAGCCGAGTGATCACCTTCATTCCACTAGTGGCCTTATTGAACTGTATTATTTGATAGTATTATAATTATTTATAATATTTGCCCAATTGAAGGTAAACGTATGTATGATTACTTTATGCTACCGCATACTTACCAGATACTGTATATCAATACGTATATAGCATAGGTTGTACAGTAATCCTACTATAAAATCTTGAACACGCGATCAGTCTAAAATAGCAATTTGATGTATTCAGAAACTTGATAAAAGTTTTATACACACAGCCCTCCAGCTGCAATTTACAACCTCATGAGTTAATCATATTACTACTCAGTTAATAATCTATTTCGATACCTAAGAGTTTTATCCGCAGTTTTTTAAGATGTGTTTTTCAAATTTCAATATTGTTTGCTCGCAAATATTGTTTAATATGGGTGGAAATATTGTAATAGTATTTAAGATAGTGTGCATGTTATAACCAGTGTGGCGACCGTAAATTGAATTTTAAAAGTTAGAGTCAAGACTGATGTTTACATTTATATCAATAAATTAATTATTAATCTCTTACCGATAGTTATCAAGTTCTAAAACATGCTTTAATACCATAAAAATTACAAACTAGATCATACAAAACTGCCCTGTGACTGGTATAGCAACTAGTATTAACGACTTTGGTGTACCATTTGTCACTGGTGTCCAAACGAAGTATGGTGAAATTAAAACCAACTGTGTTGTCAACTGTTGTGGTGTTTGGGCTCCAGCACTAGGAAAGTTGGCCGGCGTTACTGTCCCACTTGTACCTATGAAACATGCTTATGTCGTCACTGAAAGGATTGAAGGCGTGCATAACTTACCTAATATTCGTGATCATGATTCTTCAGTTTATTTGAAGACTCAAGGAGATGCAATATCGTTCGGCGGTTACGAACCAGATCCGATTTTTACTGACGTAAGAAAATTAGCAGAACTTGTATCATTGGATATCGTGTGTACTTTGTATTTCATTAACGACTATGGCATAGATAATAATTTAATTAGACTCTATTTAATTTAATCATTCAATTCCACTCTTAATAACTAGCAATAAATAATTTTAATCCTTATATAGGTTAGCATTAGTTGAATTGAGGTAGTTATAATGTAGGTACATACCGTAGCTGCTGCCCTCTACAAGATTTCGTCTTTTAGTAATGACAGTTATTATTGCAAAGTCTTAGTTCATTCTGATCGCTGTTGTTCATTACTATTTCGTATGTGTTATCAATTGTAACAACACTCGAATCCGGTTATAAACACACATCGATTTAATTGTACTATGGATTGCAGATTACGTTAATTTTAAATTCAATAAAGATCGCTTATATTATTAAACATTTCACCTTTTTAGGTTCCCAATGATTTTGCCTTTGGTTTGTACGAATTGGACTGGGATGTTTTTGCAGCTCATGTAGATGGGTGTGTTAATCGCATGCCTATCTTAGCCGAAACTGGCATAAAATCGACAGTCTGTGGACCTGGTGTGCATTATTAATTGATAGCATACATGTCTATTTCATTCTATGTTTTTGATATGCATACATTGATAAGTGCAAAATCTATTTATGTAATAGCATAAGTAAGGACTAATGTCACTGTCCTACATTCCTAATATAGAGTCATTTACTGCTGACCATAAGCCCTTAATGGGAGAGTCGTATGAAGTTCGAGGCTTCTATTTTGGATGTGGATTCAATTCTAGTGGAATGATGTTAGGTGGGGGTTGTGGAAGAGAGCTTGCCAAATGGATTTTGCATGGTTCTCCCGACCTGGACATGTTTGGATATGATATTCGGTATTTCAGTACTGAAAATTATTTCAGAGATGTTTATTACATAGTTTACTACGTACAACAGGCAACAAAGATTTAATCACGATTTGTGTTATGATATTCCTTTATGATAGCCACTTTCTTACATTGTATGCATCCAATTCTATATTAATCACTCTCTAATAACTTGCAGACGGTTCGCGCCATCAATGACAAATAATAATAGATGGGTTAAAGAAAGAAGTCATGAAGCGTATGCTAAAAACTATGCCCTTGTTTTTCCACGAGATGAACCCCTTGCTGGTAGAAATATGAGAAAGGATCCATTCCATCAAGTCCTTTTAGATGCAGGCTGTGTCTATCAGGAAAAGCATGGATGGGAAAGACCATCATGGTTTGACAAATCTGGAACTGGCACAGAGGTGATTTATTACTGCAATAATACAGTAATATGTTGATTAAATTCTCTCCTCGGGCAGAAATTACAGTATGACTTGCATTTTAGGTATTTTCTTACGATTACTACGGCTCCTATGGTAATGAAGCACATAAAAACTACCCCTATAGGGATAAACTAGAATATGACTATACCTTCGAATTTACCAAGCATCATGATATAGTAAGTTTACATTACAGATAATAGCAATAAATAAAATACTTCCTTTTATTATTATTAGTTACAAATACCTTCAGCATGAAACTACTAAGTTACTTTTAAATGTTACTTAAACTTTCTAGATCAAAGAAGAATGTCTAACTTGTCGTAACAGCGTCGCAGTCTTTAATATGTCATATTTTGGAAAATTTTACCTTCTTGGGCCTGATAGCCAGAAAGCAGCTGATTGGATCTTCAGCAATGATATGACTAAGGCGGATGGTATGTCTTCCTTTAAAATGTGCTTTAGCTTAATGTAATGCTTTAAACTTATGTTAAATAGGTAATAGCGTGTATACATGCATGCTGAACAAAAAAGGAGGAATTGAAGGCGACATGATAATTAATATGATTGATTCTGAGGATGGCAAATCATCTGTTGCACCTAATTTTGACGGTAAAAATAAACAATTGATCGATAGAGTATGTATATTATTATTAGCATATGACACAAACAGGATATAAATATGAGTTAATATGTATCATTTTGTAGGGAGAGGATTTTATGTCACAGTCGGTGGAGCGGTCGCTACTTACTGTTTTGAACACATTAGAAAAATAGTTGAAGATAAAAAATGGGATTGTCGATTGATCGATTTATCAGAGGATGTGGGCATGTTAAGCGTTCAAGGTCCTAAAAGGTATGCCTTTAATCTTTTATAATATTATCATGCTTTCATGATATATTACATGTATAACAACAGACTATAGTTTAATTTCTAATTTCTAACATTCGTTACTAGCCGAAAAGTTTTGGAATCGCTAACTTCCAGTGACTTAAGTAATGACGCATTTCCATACTTAACCAATAAAATAATCGATATAGCAGGTCATAAAGTGAGAGCTATTCGGGCAACATTTGTTGGAGAACTTGGCTGGGAATTACATATTCCTAAAGACTCTTGCGTACCTGTCTACGAAGCGCTTATGAAAGCGGGTGCTGAACATAATATCTGCAATTCAGGATACAGGGCAATTGATACATTAAGTTTGGAAAAGGGTTTTAGACACTGGCATGCTGATATCAGACCTGAAGATACACCACTCGAAGCTGGATTAGCTTTTACTTGCAAATTAAAGTCCAATGTAGATTTCTTTGGTCGAGATGCCATAGAAAAGCAGAAAAGTGAAGGATTGAAAAAGAAGTTGTATTGTTTCTCTGTCGATGAGTGAGTGCAAAGTTCTTATAGTGTGACAACCACGATCATTTTGGAAGCTGCTATATCTAGAAATTTTTTACTCAAATTGCTGATCTTTATGCTATCTTGTAGTCACATTATGCTGCATGGATTAGAAACAATTTGGCGTAATGGTGAATGTGTCGGATTCCTTCGCCGAAGTGACTTTGCTTTTGCACTAGGTAAGAGTATTGGTTATGGGTATATTCGCGCCCCTGAAGGCCAAGTTATCACAGCAGATTTTGCAAAATCAGGAAAGTATCAAATCGAAAGTATTGGTAATAAGTTTGATGCCAATATACATTTGCAATCACCTTTCGATCCAAAGTCGAAACGGGTTCAAGGAATATATGATTGATTTATAAAGGCATTCAATCAATTTCTATCTGTTTCTTTTCATAATCAATATGATTGACTTTTTTGGGGTTATAATAATGCCATGTTATTACTATTAATTGGGAAAAGCCAATGTTGACATTGAAGTGTCTGCACAGACTGGCGCATAATTTTTTTATGTCATTTAATAGTTTACTTATAATATCTGTGCTAAAGACTGAATAAAGGATTTTATTCACCTTGAAGACGGAGATTAACTGATTTAAAAATTTCTATACATTAACATTAAGATAGGGGTCATGATTATGAGGTGGACTTATGAAAATAATGATCATAAGTTCAGTTATGATTTTATAATTTTATAATTGTGTTACTGTAATAGTAATGTCAGTCATTCATTCATTACTATACTGCATTTTTTGAAATAGTTGATTTGTGCGTTGTGCAATAATTTATAGCTAATTCCTGAATTCGTTATATTTCTTTACTAACCATTGCAGTACAACTGTTAGTTGAGGCCGCAAAAGTAAAAGAAAAGCTTTTACTTCCATGGCTGAGGCCTTGGTAGTCGAAAGTGCTCGGAAATTCTGATAAAGGTGGATCGGGTTCATTCATACATTTCTTTTTTCCTCACTAGCGAATAGAATATTCGCTATATTTCTAATAATTTATTTCTTTTATACGAGAATATGAATACAGCCATAAATAGTTATAATATCAGATATAGAAACGTACTGTAATACCTACCTGGGTTAGTAAAAGAAATTGAAAGTAGAATATTATGTGTTTAAATGAATCGGATATAAAGTCTGAGTAAGATATAAATGCATTATAAATTCAAATATACTTGCCAGTTATTTTAACTCTAGATAGTCGCATGACAGTAGTAACATATTTTGAAATACGATTAAATAAAATTTAGCTATATGGACAGCTTCATTTGATGAGAAGATAGCAAGAGGGTTTTATGCTATATATATCACTATTTTTGTAAATTTACCTTGTAAATGATAGCAACTAAAAAAAATGGAATGAAACTTGGCAAGCAAATCCCAACAATGCTCATTAGTACGCGTATTATAATTTCCATGCATGTCTAAAAATTTGACAACTATATGATATCAATACAAATAGTAAAAGAGTGATGGTGAATATTCCTATTTATTATTTTTTACTACTACTTTGAGGTTTTCGATATACGAATGAAATTTCATCGTTGTTCTTGGGTATAAAATGAGATATACCTAATGGAACTTCCTGTTTAGTGACATCATATTGAAGATACCAATAGCACAATTTACTACTACTATCACTTGATATACCGTTGATTGTTTCCACAGTATAAGCGTCAAATGTTGCATGATATTTTAATGTGTAATTAAATCGACTACTCATACCAGCTGCCATCTTCATAAATGTTAACATTGGGCTACCCGCTTTAGCTGATATGGACAGCGGTGTTTCATCTCCAAAGTCAAGGGTTGGGCAGTTATAACGAATAGTGTAGACTATAGTGACAACAGATGAATTAATAGCTCCACTAGGTGGTTTACAAGTTGCACTTTTTAAATCCAAAAATGTAGAACCAGTAATTGATGGTAGAACCGCAACTGTATTATCAACACGTCCAAATGTGCCATCATATTTACGCATTTTAAATAATGATTGCAATACTTTAGGATAATTCCAAGTAGTTATCGGAACATTAACTGATAATAAAGCTTGAATTGCATGAGCTGTTGCATATTCATTACCAAATAGGAAAGTTTTCGAATTTTGATTTTTTAGTAGATATTGAATAGCACGTTGGACAGCATTCTGATAGCCTCCAACACAATGCAAGGCCATGATTGCCATCGATGTCGAATCAACATCATACCAACCACCATCTGACTGTACTTGAAGTTCGCTTAAAAATGAAGCAAAATTCGAAGTATTCTTGTAGTTATTTAAACATAATGTTAGTAGTGCTAATGCATAAGGATATTGATGATTAAAGTCAATGTTTGGATTCTTTAACCGAAGTGCCAGTTGTTGATTTAAGTTAATATTGGCAAATTGACTTGTATTGACGCACATTGCTTTTAATGCTAGCATAACATAAGCAAGTTGGCCACCAGTAATAGCTTGCTGTGTTGGAGCCGGAGTTGTTCCATGTAAAACATACTTTTGCTGTATAACTTTAGTAAGATAGTCTTTAATACTCGCGGTATTATTGAATAATCTATATATCAAATAGATATATAGATTAGAAGAAGTTATAGAATATGCTTATTCCATTTCACATTCATTTCATGTAGTATATGCAGAGAATACAATATAATACCTGATCATAGCTGGATTAAATCCTCCTGCTAATCGGATTGCAAGAGTTACCTGAGCTGTCAAGGAAACAGTAGCCCATCCACCACTAGCCTTCTGTCTTTGAAGGACAAAACTGATACCGCGAGTTACAGTTTGTGTTGATTGTACTGCAACCATTCGCTCTTCAGCTAATAATTTTCAATAAACCAAGCAAACGATAACTATCAATTAATATTGATCGCAATTGATTTTTACTTTGCCTTATTTTGATCAGATATAAGTTATACCGTAAAATTTATCATTATTTCTTGTCGCCAGAGCAATTAATAGGATTAAGGTAATGATAGTCATAATTATACAGTAAGCCCAAGTAACTTTTAAGCCAAATGGAGACCTGAGGAACAAAAGGAAACAGAATAGAAATTAACTTTTGTTAACAAGTTCAGGATTGAAAATATACAGTAAGCTAGCTCCTGACGACGTAGTAAAAGCGTATTAAAGTTGCATTTCAACGTTTACGATTAAAATTAGTGGAGCTGTACTCAGTCAAGATATTTCTAGAGCATACTGCTAGTCTTGGTATCCAATTTAATCTTTCATGCTTTTGAAACGTAAGAGTGTATTTCTAACAACTCGGGAAACTAGCCCCAATCGATAAATCATATTAAGCAATATTTTCTGCTTTATGCGAACGATAGAACTGACATTATAAAAAATTTAGTCGTGACTTCTTACTATAAGTAACCAAGAATGGGCTATAAATCATAGCTACAGGTTGCAAATCAGAATACCTGTGAAAAATGTAGATATGGTGCTCGCATAATCCTAAAATATTGTCTTTTTCCCATTAAATTATAACTATAGCAGATTTTAGTTTAGTATGTTATTAATTCGGAACCTATTGAAAGTAGTAAACTAAGTAAGCCCTTCTTAGCATTGTACGGTACAACTAGAGCCATTAATTAGCTGGTGACTTAAATACTAATTGAATCAGTACTAGGTAAGAGCTTTACAATTAATAAAAGAAATTTAAACATAGAAAGATATCATAAATTGGTCAATTTCGAAATCGCTAGACCATAAAACCTGAAAATATGAGGAGATTTCTAGAAAAAGATATTGATTAAAAAGAATATCTTGTGTGGTATAACTTACTTTATCCTACACATATATATACATTGCTAAATGATTCAACTTAGCATTTGATCATTTCTTAGAGTTTTATCGAAGGTAAAAGAAAAGAATGCTTCCCTAGTGACCGAAATATAAATTGTAATAAGGATTCGCTCTATTAATTCACTAGTTTTAAACATGATTTATACCAATAGAGCGATAGATTCGCTACCGCCTACGATTGGAATAGAAACTTTTCGGTTTGAAATAAAATTGATGGACAAAAGACGAATTAAATCATCTCGAGTAAAAGGCTATCGATGACATCTTTTCTACGGATACTGCCTTCAATCTTAATTATAATTATATTAGTAATAATAAGACATTACTTTAATCGCTGCATCATTGGACCCCCTGTCTGAGTATGTTTAGGCGTGCGATTTTTGGCTAAATTATCATCCGAGATAAACCCAGTTTCAGCACCTTCAGATCCCATATTATGTATCCTTTAATAAGTCTAGATAGAAATATGCACCAACAGCGTATGAGTATTACGAGATAAGTATGCGTTAAGTTATGTAATAGAACATGATAAGTAAGTTTATTTACCCGTTTAGTACTGTGGGGGTTAAACAAGGCAAAAAAGTCGATAAATTCTCCACAAATCAGTTAGCTCGGCTTGAAAGCTTTGATACCTTTCACTATTAATAGTTGAGGTTGTAGACTGCCGACGAGAAAATTATAATGAACTAGAAAGCAAAGAGCGGGCCTTTTAATAGGAATCCGATATCGATCGTATCCTTTACAACTAATCGGTATACATTAACACCTTTATTCTATATCTTTACAGTTTACACTGCCTAACACTTATGTATTTGCAATGAGGATGATAAAATTCTCACACGGTCCAAAGTAAAGCTATAAAAGATGAAGGTGGAAACAAATATGGGAGTGGACATCAGTGGTTACTATAGCGATTCTGCTTAACACGTTTAAGGTATTAATATGGACCTTCTCAGTATGCAAGCTACAAGCTACTTGAGTATGATTAGTATAAAGTTGACTAAATAAATAAGATATGTTTTAAATTACAGTAGTATGGCTAGTCGTATTTAAAGATTCGATGTGACAAAGAAATATACGAAGGCATTTGAGAATGGCCGAATTAATTACCTTAAGTTCAGATTACAGCATAACGGTTACTCGAATCTACAACTTTCATTTCAATATCTTGCAATAGTTTATATATATAGTAAATAATCAGCAATGACCCTTTCTTACAGTTTGGTTATGGGCTAGATCGATTGTAACACAGATTTAAAATATTCTAATTATATTATCACAGATACTCTTTTAAGGACTGTTACGAAATAATACAATTGTTGTAGACATAGTATCGATAAGATCTATCATATTGAATAAGCTTGTTTATTCAGTATATTTCTGCAGTTGTTCTGTAATGATGACGATTAAGTCCTAGATAGCATATCTAAGAAAATAAGTTGTTATCTTATTATGAATAAGATAAGATTGTCGTTAACATTCATGGTACGTCCGTGTCTGTAATGATGACGATTAAGTCCTAGATAGCATATCTAGGAAAATAAGTTGTTATCTTATTATGAATAAGATAAGATTGTCGTTAACATTCATGGTATGTCCGTTATTGCACGTTACTGGTAATTGTCTCTTATATATAACGGCTCCTAACGCATAATAAAGTTAGTTCGGTACTTAAGCTCTATTGGACTCGTGATTGTTCAGTACTCAAGCCCTACTGGACTATTAAATTATTGTTACGATAAACTAGAAAGTGTAACAAGGGCTGTACTGAGTTATGGTCCCGTTAAGCCTAAATTGAATTCCTTATGAGATCCTTGTATTACTATTCCTCTTGAGATGATGGTAATTCTTGCAGATTTATTTTAGAAATTTACTCAGTTCGATATCTTCTACTGCCTAGTTTACAACTCGATTCTTGGTAAGAAGATTATAATTTCTTCAGATCCAATTTAGATATTTAGTAGTTGATACCCGGCTTTGTATCGAGTTTCCAACTGGATTCTCTTGGAGAAGATGATAATGCTTACAGACCCATTTTGGGAATTTTTTTCATCAAGGTTGTAATTCCATTGTTTGATGAGAATACCGATAGATCTGTTTTAGGATTTTATTCAATTAATATCCCCTCTAGTAAAGTTTGTAATTTGATTCCATTTGCGACGACAATACTAATAGAATTACACTCTAATAATTAAGCTTGTAATTTACTTGTTTTTGACCAGATAAATAAAATTGAGTAAATTCCTAAAATGCTATTTACATTATTTTACTAAGAGTAAACAAAAATTGTATGCCTCATTAACCAGATTGTGCTTATAACATAATTCCTCAAATTTTCAACTGATTCGTAATGAAGCAAATATTAACATAGCATACAAATCGAAGCTATAAACTGCTGTCTAATGAGGCACAGATTGTTATAATAGATTTTACTGCGAAAGAGGATTATATGGAATTAGCAGCTGATTGGCATAATTTATTTATTATTATTAATATACCTAAATCTTGATATAAATCTAGCAATGAATTGGAAATTAAGTTAGGATTTAAAATATACAAAGAGAGCTCTTATATGTTGGTGTCTACATCCTATCCGTCATGACTGAGCGTTAGCGATCAGAGATATACTGAAAATATGACAAAATTTAGTATTGATAGCGTACAGCTAGGCGTGCAAACATCAGCTAGTTTCTTCATAGTTATTTTGGCCTGAAATCAGTAAGGCATGTCGAACAAATACGTCTGAAATAGGTAATAACGATGATAATAGACTATTTATTGTACAGTAGGCTGTTTAGGCTAAAGGCATTCATAAGCTCGCAGTAGTGAACATTTTCTGGTCTTTATTATCGCACGTATTATAAACGTCACCACGAAATTTACCCATATTAATTCCATTTACTGCAAATGAAAAGTAGTCGTCTATTTTGTATCTCTTTTCATCTGAATGATGCACTACGACAGATTAGTTACATAGCCTTAATGATAAAGTTGCAATCAGCAAGTCTCAGTTTTACAGTTAAACACTAGTAGACGTGATTTCTTATTAGAAATTTTCGCGCAACCATTATAAGATGATACCGATAAGATCCGATACCCATTTCTTTAAATATAATAATGATGATGATACTACCCATAGAATATGATATTACTAATAGCTTATGTACAAGAAAATATCGTTAAAACTAATCTATTTATAATAATATTAGGATGGTCACTATTTACTACAAATGAATTCTTGCACCAATTGCTCGATCTGTTATAAAAAGTAGAGTCCTGATGGATTGATAAAGTTAAAATTCCCTCATAAGGCTGTATATACAATTATATATTCGTACAATCGGTTCTTGGATCTGCTAAATACTTGTATAACGACAGAATAAAGTATTACTATTGGCTTGAAGACAGAAATTTCGATTCTCTAGGAAAACGATCATTACTCTAACAAAGTCTTACATTACCTTCCACACCGTTATATGTAATGGAATATAACTCATTGATCAAGTGAGCAATCCTTTACAAAATTGTACATAATCGATCCTCTAATCTGTTATCAAATAATACAGTGATAGAATATGGTATTGTTATTATTACTACGGTAGAAATTTTTGCTTTTTTATTAGGACGATCATCATGTAAGTAAAACTTTACTTTATCACTATAATAAATACTATCTATTTAGTCAAACTTTTCTTCGCAGAACTACACTTGAATAGCTCTCTAATCTGGCAGAGAAGCGACTTCAACGATAGTCTCAAGACAGAAGATTATTTCAATGTGAAGATTATCATTCAATGTGCCCAAGACTAAATGCCATAGAAAGATGACTACAATTTAATAAAAATCTTAAATACGGAATGAGCAAAGTTTAAATTAATTTACAGGGTATTTATCACATTTTAATCGAATTTAGTCATACCCATCATTTTTTGCTATATCTGAAAATTAGAAGAAAGGATGAAAACCATTACGAGTCTAATTATTGTCATTTAGTACCTCACATAGTCTAATGGAGATTTTTTTTTCCCCTCTTAATATATGCCTAACGGATATTACTAGAATTTCAGTTCACGGCCCATTATTTCTAGTTTCCTATTAATTATAGCCTTTGTAGGTATTGTATGAAATGATGAAAAGATGAAAACAGTCCCATTTTTATTCAGATATTCATTATTGTCAATTTTATTAGAAATCAACTATTATTAAATTCAGACTTTACGCTTCTACTGCAATATGAATTTCCTGGAAAGAAAGTAGTGAAGCTATTTGTCATAATGACCGCTATACCAGATATGCTGGTGAATTATTGGACAGGATTTGAGTGTGAGATTATATTTGTAATTAAATTAGGTTAAACTATTTATCGATGGTAATCGTTATACACAACACGTGGAGAAGTTACCAGGTACAATTTAAAACAAGTGATGGTATGACTCTAATAAATATGTTAGTTCAAATACTAAGAGCGATACTTTGATAATATAGTACGATCAGAAGTTGCTGGATAAGATTTGAAGGTAAAATAAATAAATAGGTTAAATGACGTAAGTTAAGTATTCATTGAGCGATGATTGTAATATCTGACGTGCATCGAAAGTTATCGCATAAAATTTTCTCAAATAGATAGGAGATTGTTAAATGTAGAAAACTTTTACGAGACCCATTACAGTAGAATATTTATAGTATTTAAATGAAACAAAAAATACAAACCAAGCTGCCATAAATTGATGGTCAGAATATAACGAAAGAACCTATTTCTTTATCTGCATTAATCCTGAAGCAATAATTAATTAGCTGGTAAAGTTACTACAGTAATATTAACTATCGCCGTACAGTATTCTTCTAAGTGCACGAATATACGTATTTAGATCTCATTTACAATAAAGATGCGTATATCCAAAGAAGTACCCTATCCATTTCTTTTGTGAACGAATTTATTAGAAAAGCCTAATAAAATATCTAATAATTCTAAGTAATACATCAATTTCTTATAAATATCAAATAAAACCGTGATTTTTCATATACTCTTCCGATACTTGCACGACTGTACGTGTAATACAGTAGTCTACACGATTGCATGAAGCCTAAAATTGTGGTCAACACTCAAGCTAAAATGAAATCAACATGTAATTGGCTACTTCTATGCTGCAGAGCTAAAGTATCACAACTCTTTAGGTCACAAAATTTATTGTTTTACTAATTAAATTAATAACTTTGATAAGATCAACTTTCAGAAACTTAAGTACCATGCAATATTTTTTTGTAAGTTTACTGCTTTATTTACTTCCGTACCATTTGCTGTCTAGTGACTGACACTTTCTATCAATTTGATGATGCCATCTGTTCAATAGAATATCATTGTCATATCAAGTTAAAAGTGAGAAGCGAGGAGGCAAAACAATTGCAAAGTTGACATTGTACAGCATTCGTATACTCAGATATACAGCTAAGAACAGCTGTACAGGTGCAATCCATTATGTTAATAGTTTGATTAAAGTTCAAAGGCTCTTTGTAACCATTTAAAATGCATTGGATATAATTAGAAAATAAAAAAATTCGTGAATTTAAATAAATTACAATAGAACATAAAGTATTTTTAACAAATACTGCTTAAATAGTCTTATTGCTCGATATGATCACTCAAGGTCCAAAGACTTATCTGGGAATACTGAATAGAATAATTGGTGAAACTGCTATTTGTGGATAAAATGACATTAGAAATGTATGCAATCAATATCAGTTATACTAATATTGATTAAGTGTAAATTTATAATGTAGTACAGTAAAAACTTGGGAAGTAAAACCTACAATTTTGGATTGCAGTGTATCTAAGATAAGCTAATTTAATAAGGCCATATCTTACTTTGCTGAACTTATTTACATTTTACTGAATTATTATCAATGTCTATGGCCTACGATAAATAAAAGCTATTTTAGCGTTATTTTGGGGCATATAGTGTGAAACGCCCAACATTATTTCGTGATTAGTCACATCGTCTTGAAGGAACCAATGACATAATTGGTTACTTGTTTGGCTTGAGATATTGTTAATTTTTTCCACCGTATAAGCGCTGAATGTAGCATGATATTTGACTGTAAATCGATATGCCGGATTGATTACTTCAGCAGCACGCATAAACGTTAGCATAGGGCTATCTGCTTTTGATGCCACAGCGACTGACTTTTCATCTGTTCGATTGACGTAAGGTAAACATTGGTATCGAACAGTGTAGACAATAGTGATAATACGAGATTCAGTACTAGCATTTGGCTCATCGCAGGTTACAGTTTTCAAGTCTAGATAAACTGCACTTGCCAACGACGGTAATACAGCAGCTGTGTTGTCAATTCTGCCAAACCCTTCGTTGGCGATCTCATATTTCATAAGTTCTTGGAGTACTTTCATATAATTCCATTTTGATATAGGTATTCTTTGCGACAGCATAGCTTGTACCGCATGAGCAGTTGTATACTCATTCCCGAATTGATAAGTTGTTTTGGATTGCTTGGAGAGTAAAGCTTGGATGCCTTTGGATATGGCACTATTACTACTGCTATCAGCACAATTTAGTGCTAAAATTGCCAAAGCTGTTGTATCTAAATCAGCCCAAGTTCCATCTGATGATTGCATTACTTGTAATTTGTGGACTAGATTCGATTTATATTTACTGTTTGTCAAGCATAAGCTTAGTAATGTTAAACTATAAGCATAAGGATGATTAAAATTTTTACTTGGATAATCTTCTAAATTGTTCATTAATTTTTGATTTAAATTCATTCCAAAAAATTGGCTTGTATCCTTGCACATAGCATGTAAGGCCATTACAATGTAAGCCAATTGGCCTGGTGTAATAGAAGAGTTGGCTTGATACATATCATTTTTAATTACTGATACATAATATTCATCGATAGAAAGAGAACTAACAGCGGATGATGAACTGGCAAAAGATGAGTGAAGAGAAGTTAGTAAGGAAAAAATTTATGATTACTTATACAGTCGGCAGTTGTAACGACTTGAATATAATTGTTATAAAGGTAATTTGCTACACTAAGCAATTAACATTACTAGGATGAGTTAATATAATAAAGAGGTGGCTTATCCTATGAATGCAAAAATGGCTGGTAAAGTAAAAGTAGCTGTAATGCAGTATCTACGTAATTACTGTACATCGAAAATCAATTGATGATTGGTATACATGATTTGACTGAGACACTTACTTTACCATTCGTGCGACATTTATTCCACTGCCTAAACGTAACGCAATAACCACTTGAGAAGTTAATGTGATGCTCCCCCAGCCACCAGTAGCCCGTTGATGTGCTAGTAAATAATTGGTAGCTCGAGCCACAACTTGTGAAGACTGAACCAGGATACGCCTATCGTCTAGTTATTAAATGGATTAAATCAATTCGGTTATTATTACATATACACAGTAAGAAATGGCTCCAATTGGCATATACTATTGCTGACAGTGTTACGGTCAATCCTAGTGATTGACCGTAACAACAGTAGCATTATTTTACAGTTACAGAATAACCCAAAGCAGTAGCACTAGGGTATTTAAAGAAGGATGCGTAGTTGAAATTAATTATAAAGGTAGTTCTTAATCAAGAAAAAATTGGGTCAATTTTTCGATTTCTTAGAAAGCAATATGATTTGCGATACTATTCCTTAATTACTATACATAGTAAGATGTAATAGCATACCATAGAAATTCCGACAGGGATGATTACTTTCTTTATTCAATTGTGATATGGTAAGTAAGACGATGGCGACGACAGTGATGGCAATAGCGTAGATCAGGAGTGCGATTTTCATCATCATCGATGTCCTAGAGAATAATATAGTGCCATAATTGTATTAAATTATGAAAAGAAAAGTAAGATTGAATACAGCATAAAGAAGTCATTGACTTTAGATTGTTTAAAAGTATGAAAATATTCAAGTTTATTGTTTCATTGTATTTAAATTCTTGTTATCATCCTACGCGTAATACTGTATCATTCAATAATATCATTACGGATATTGAGTAGCAACGATAAGTATAATAATCAATTTTGGATTTAGTAATTTTCTCTTGCTCGGAGAATAAAGAGCAATTGTCAAATATCGCCAGAGTATCCACAATGGTGACATTTATGTATATGCCAATCAATTTAAATAGCAAGGTAGCGCACACTGTACGACCGTACAATACTTGATCTAAAAATGGACGTTTTTCAAAACTACATCTATTAGTATAAAAATTGTAGATTGATGTTTTACTTCTTCCCTAACTCTACTAGATAGGGATCAGTAATCCATTGTATTTGTGCATGGTTGAAATTGCATTAAGGTACGATCCCTTGTACCAAGTATAATACTATTATTAATACGACTGTAAAAAAATGGCCGATTTTGCTGAAGTAACGGTCTACCATTAAAACAAGTTTTTTTACTATGGCATCGTATTGTACGTTTATTTTATCATCATATTCATGTTCTGCAGACATCCTCCTGCCTGTACATATCGATTTTGAACAGGAGTTGTAACAAATTGCAACTTTCAATTTTCGACGCCATCTTGCCATCGAAGTTAATCACGTAGTACATTACTTTTTTAATGCTATTTCGAGAGACATAGCATGGACCAATAAGCTTTCCAGTTGTCATTATAACTATCTGTATATAGTTGTACATCATGCATAGCAATATTGCACTCCTTCAACAATTTTCTTTTCCTTTATCAATACTAAATTGGCTTAATTACCTCATTGATTTGCGTAAGACACGGGCATTATCACTATTGAGATCGGTCCGACTGAGTCTTGCAAGATCATACTGATGTGTCGGTGTCGCATACGTGTGTTTGGCATCAGAATCCATGTTGAATCTAGAGAGAATAATATGAAAGCAAATGCCATCAGTAAAAATTCACTGGCAGTTGACAGTGAATCAACTATACTAGAAAGGGGCACTTTGAACTGATAATACTTTTCATTGACCGTCTACATGAGTACAATTATCTTCTACTATAAAGATCAATTTGTAATTTTATCCTTAGCCAATAATCTACAGTGAACGTGAATTATAATTCATAAATAATTCATTATTTGATACAAGCCGGCATGGAAAAGCAAAATTGTTCAACCTGACTGGCATAGCCTTTACTTTTACTAACTGATCAGAATAGATTGTATTTTACGTCTATGGTATTGAGTTGTTTCTTCTTCTACAAAGCCAATTTGTAATTGTATCAGTGGGAAAAAAATCTGACTGAAGTAGCTACTCGAAACAAATTGGCTTTCTTCTACGTCTATCTATCGTCTACTAAGTACAGTACTGATCTTGTGCTTCTCTAGAACTACTCATTTTATCAGTTTAGACTGTGTAAGCTCATCGAATCAACCGTATATATATATATATATATACATCAGTATTGTTACAGTATAATAAGGCAGAGTTAGTGGTCACTGGTCACCACCACGGTATTGCAAAATAATATTGTAAAAATCTGACTGAAGTAGCCATCACAAGCAGATTCACTTTCATCTTATGTCTCTCTATTTTGGATTGAATGAAGCTGAAGCTTTCTTCTCAGATCTAGTCTAGGATAAAGTAACATTGTAAAAAAAAACCTGAGTGGAATGGTTTCCTCCGTCCAAATCAACTACTAACTGATGATTGTTGTTTTTCAATGGTTATCCTAGGGCAATACTGTACAGATGCACGCCTGTATCCTCCATAAAACTGCTTCAAAATAATACCAACAATATTATCAAGACCTGGCGATATAGTCCAAGGTATCCTTCCTTGAAATCAGCAAGATCGTTGACTATTAATAATCTAAGAAATTGCTTTTCCACCACTTGAGATGGTGTTGTCCACAAGATCTAGCAGAGAGTGGAGAGTTTTCCTCCACGGCGCATTCTCCAACATGCCGCTGATTGACCCATCGGCGAACGTTTTCAACTTGCAGATGAGTCTGGGTGGTGTCACGTTTTCTGGGGTTTGACGCGACAATAGACACGTGTGCCTTTTCGAATACCCGGCAGCAACAGTAGCGGGTCAGCCTGGGCCAGGAAATGCATTGTACTGTCGAGTACAATGTACAGTGCAATGTCCACAGTACTATTTACAATGGACTGTACACTGTACGCTGTATGAGCAGTACTGGCTGTTCTTGTTACAGTGTACTGTACTGTAGGCCGACATCATGGTACTGTACACTGTACACTGTACGGCTCCAATGGCCACCCAAATAGTCCAAGAATGGATCTACCGGTTTGTTGTTGTTCTTTTTGAAGGTTAATATGGAGTCCCCGCTTAAACCGGAAATGCTTTCCAGGGCTAGCCGACCACCAATGTTTTGTACGGAAGTACACGATAATTTTACAAGCGAAGTGGCGTTTTTGTCACCAAGTGGAGTTTGATACACGTAAAGTTAACATTTCTCACCACTCCGTATATTTGAGCGTTCCTACACGTGTACGCATACAATGAGAGCCAGTTCTCTTTACAGTGCTATTAGGCAAAATAACTTGTAGTAAAGCTGCAAAATTTACTTAAAATTCTATACGTACAGATAGTTGTGATTTTAGGGCACCTTAAAGTACTCTGATTAGAACTGGTTCACGCTGTACGTCTACCCAATCAGGGACAAAGAGTTTAGTAATCGCTGACCGAATACCCACCGGTTGTGCATGTGCCTAGACTGAAATTTGCAACACTTCTGTATTTGAAAATTTCCAAATGAACGCCCATTGGAAATTTTTTTTAGAGAGGGAATAAGTATTTAGCGGTACGACAGTTTCAGCTAAAGTATGGTAAAAACTTTTCATCCACTGATATCTCACACTAAACCAATAGCGCACTGCAAATTCCGTCGCCCACCTCTATACACGCGATATATTGAACACTGAAATGAAAGTAGATCATGTTTTTGTAGCAGATGCTAGAGTGAATAGTACAAGACTGTGTTATACAGTATAGATATAGAGGAGTGCATTTATTTTCTTCGGCAAAAGCCAACAATAAGATTGTAAATATCAACGGTAAATTGAGCTAAAAAGTGATCCAATTTCTATAATAGACGTACATGGAAATTGGATGGGAAAATTTCAACAAATCACACTTTTGAATTTTCATGTCAATTTGGCCAATGAAAATAATCTGTTGTGGGTAGATGTCAAAATGCTGTCCATTCTGTTCTTCGAAATCGATATAGAGTAATAAAGTGTGAAGTTTGACAAGAAATGGACGTCTTGTTGAATGAATTATACGGTATACGCGTGTCGTTATAACATTCTACGGTACTTGATAGATTTTTTATCAGCGCTTATTTTCGGCTCCCTGCCCTTTATCATTTTACTATGGTCTACGTGCTGAAATGTTGGCTTTGGGAAATTCTGACTGCACCAATACCTATAGAGTATTTTCATCAACGTTGACTAAAATAAGCTACCTTCCTCATGCCCACTGCGAAATGGATCCAGCTCAAATTTTCAGTCCACTCAGATCTACAATAGACGAGCTACTATCTATACGTAACATATCCATATAATCTATATTATATCATTTATGAATTAATTATGCAGCACTGTACTGTATACGCGTATAAGCTTGACTAAAAAAAGGACGGGTTAATAACGCTATCATAGCTGTACACAGTACTGTACAGTTGAATATGATTTGTAAAATGGCTGCATATGTGTGAATTATTGGTGGCAGTTTCAGTGAAACATCCATTCTAGGGTATACAAGAATGAATGATATAATTTTTCAGCTGCAGTCGATGAGAATGCATGGACTACTAGAAGAAAAAGCTACTAGAAGTCATTCTAGAAGTCATTCTAGAAGTAATTCTAGTAGTAATTCTATAAGTAAATGTACAAGTTATTCTAGTAGTAATTCTACAAGTAAATGTACAAGTGATTCTAGTAATAATTCTAGTAGTAATTCTAGAAGGTCATTCTAGAAGTAATTCTAGTAGTAATTCTACAAGTAAATCTACAAGTTATTCTAGTAGTAATTCTACAAGTAAATGTACAAGTGATTCTAGTAGTAATTCTAGAAGGTCATTCTATAAGTAATTCTAGTAGTAATTCTACAAGTAAATGTACAAGTTATTCTAGTAGTAATTCTACAAGTAAATGTACAAGTGATTCTAGTAATAATTCTAGTAGTAATTCTAGAAGTAATTCTATAAGTAATTCTAGTAGTAATTCTACAAGTAAATGTACAAGTGATTCTAGTAATAATTCTAGTAGTAATTCTATAAGTAATTCTAGTAGTAATTCTATAAGTAATTCTAGTAGTAATTCTATAAGTAATTCTAGTAGTAATTCTATAAGTAATTCTAGTAGTAATTCTAGAAGTGATTCTAGCAGTAATTCTACAAGTTATTCTAGTAGAAATTCTAGTAGTAATTCTACAAGTAAATCTACAAGTTATTCTAGTAGTAATTCTATAAGTAATTCCACATGTTATTCTAGTAGTAATTCTACAAGTAATTGTAGAAATAATTGTACAAGTAATTCTACAAATTATTCTAGTAGTCATTGTACTAGTCATTGTAGTAGTTATTCTAGTAATAGTCCTTGGATCTGGTCATGGATTGGTGCTTTGGCGTAACCTTGGTCACCCCAGACTTCCCAGCACTATGCAGCTGGTACTCACTGTATGTCATATATTGGCTATTCTACCTTGTATGCTAACTAGCCAAACCATGTATAACAGCGTACCTCTTCTCTCTTAACTACTGTACTCTATGGTAGTTATGTTGCAAGTGATATTTCTTGCAGTAAACTCTGCTAACTTCTTGTACTTTGGGAAGCCTTATTGAGCCGCAAAACGTGGACAGTGTAGACACACGGTATAGCGCACCATGTCATACTGTAGCCCTTAGGACAGTCATCAAAGGCGGTACTATACTGTATGGAGGATCTAGTGCACAGTATGGGCAATCCAGCACGACGGCAGCCAAACAGCAAAATTCCCATCGTTGCTAGTGAAAGTAGTCAGCATAGATGGTTGTTTTAAGGCACTACCCCTGCTTTGAAGACGGTACCGACCTAGTCACGACTGCCCAACCTCTTGGCAACGACAAGCAGCTCGAGACGAGTTTAGTCATCGATCCCCATGCTAATTTTCTTGATGGAGGTGTGCTTGCCTGGCTAGCCTGGTTCTTGATGGCATCAGAGAAAGACTCTATCATCCTCCATACTTGTAATAATTACCCTGATCAGCTAGACAAAGAACGTTTAATACGATTATTTGAAAGTTTCGATAAGAATGGCGATGGTAGAATTGATATACACGAATTACGTGATGCAATAGAAAGATCGCGAATGCCGGCTTCCCTGGAGCATGCACAGGTAAAAGGAAATACTGACCTTAACGATGATGATGGCAATTGCCTCCATCATTTTCATTTCATCATTAGATTGAATTGAGAAACAACATCGACTTCTATCCATGCATGCTACCATGATGATGTGTCATGCATGACATACAGTAGAGTAGTAGTGGAGTCAGATCGATTTTGCCATGACAGTCACACTTTTCATCCTCGTCTACACCATAACAAGGCATGGATCAAAAGAGCCTTGCTTATATTTCCCTTTCAATTCTTGGCTTTCTCTTTCAATGGATGCCCGTATAAAATTCCATGTTAATGATGCCAATCTTGATAGACACAAACTACATGAATGGAGCCTACAGTCAAATTGTCTAGACCATATGATCCACTTACATCCAAGCTTACTCGTGACTATGGCTCTATGTTCAACTTCATCATCATCACTTGCTCCGACCGTTGTCGGTGTAGATACAACTTGAAATTATTCAACCACTGCAAAAACTAAACCTTACCATCATTCGCAATGTATTCTATCGACTCATTCCTTTTCCATTCCATAAAATAAAATAGGATGGTGCACTCTTGTCTTTGCCATCACTTTCTTCGATTTTAATCGATGCATAGTTGAATTCAACTTTACATCGAGTAACATACCGTAGACGAATATTGTCTACCTACACCGTTCGCTTTATTCCAAGCTTCAGCTTCATCATCAGACTAGCAATAAATCAACTCTTTACTTTCCAGGAACACATTCGTCCATCATTCATTCAATTGATTCCATTGATTGAATGACAAATGACCTAACCAACAAAGTAGACCGACATAGCATCTAGGTGAAATAGGCTAAAAATTACCATGAATTCGACATTAAAGTATATCGATGCGAGTACTGTACGCACTGTAGTACAAACATGGCAATCATTTAGCGTTGCTCTTGTCACAATCCCAGTGTCTTAACATCTCATATACAGTTGACTCTGTTGTTGTTAGAATCTATTTTCGCCATTAAGCTACAACTAGATCAATAAAGAAAGAAAGATAAATCTAGCATAGGGTCGAGTGGTGGGTGATATCCATATTGATCTATCGCCATTTGATAGAAAAACATCAACCACAAACTACAGAATAGGGTCATACCTGTTGCCCTGTTGCAAGAAAAAAATTGAAATTGGTATCAGATTCCATTGAAATGCGGATACATTTCATATACAAAACAGAAAAGACGTAGTAAGCGTGAACTAGAATGGCAGTTGTAACCGATCGTTGATACTTTATTAGGAATTAATCCTCTAAAGCCATCTTTCAGCTTTCACTGGCTTATTATGTATGGCTATATAATTAGTTCACCATTGAACGCCATAGCTATACATCAAGTAAAGAAGAATGATAAAACTAAGGAAAGATACAAGGATAGAGTTCATAGGTAGTCAAACTCAACCATCAACATCATTTAGAATCAACTAGTACGGTAGAGTATTGCTGTTACTTTCTTTACATTACGTCATGGCTGAACTCCAACGAAAAGGAGATTTATTGAAAGGGATACGCAAGGAACGCACTGGCCAATATTTTATTATATTATTTGTGTAGGTGACAATTCGTTAGGGATGTATATCTGACATATACAGTACAATAAGTAAGTAGAAAGAAAACCTATACATTATACAAATAGAAAGGCAACCTATACCGAAGATTTATATTTGTTACGTATAGGCAGTATTATCTTGAACTGTAGCTGCTGTACTATGTTACATGATTTAAAAAGTCAAAGATTAAAGGCATCATCAAGTAAGCCTATTAAAAATATCTCGTTATTACTTTACCGCAAAACTGAGCTTGATTAGTAAATCGGTAGAATTAGCTATGATTATTGATAGCAGTATAACAATACGTACGTCGGTGATGATAGTGCTATACACAATCATTCGGCCTATAACTATAATCCCATTTTAAAATTAGCCCCTACGAGTTATATGAAAGAGCAAAACTCATTTAGATAAGTTGTTAACCCAAGTTTATCCCAGATACTATTATATAAATGTTACAGTGATAATATCAGTAGATCAAGCTATTTTAATTTTATAATTATAGCAATCCTAATTATGAAATAGTAATGTCGTAAATGTATTACTCTATAAAATACTGTTAACAAGATGGACCCTAAAGATTCTTAAAATAGATAAACATAGCTTCTTTAAAAATCGATTCTACATTACTTATTATATTAACTTATAGGAAGTAATCAATATCGGCGATTTAAATCGTGATGGCTCACTTGATTTTACTGAATTTGTGCGATATGTAACTGAACAAGAAAAGCGATTATGGCTAATATTTGATACTTTTGATCATACCCGCAGTGGTAAGTTTTATGGAGGTACCCATGGAATGCTTACGAATTAAATATACATAATAAGCGGAAACTTTAGAGATATTATAAGTAGTTTTGATAGCAACAAAATCAATTTACATTTATTTATAAGTACTGCATACTTACAGGTATACTCGTAGTTAAATAAATCAAATCCTGACTACCTTGTTATCAAAAGTGGACCTTATATCTAGTACACGCATCAGAATTAAATTGCTATTCAAGACTCATACGCCAATCTAGTTGAGAACAGATATCTAGGCATAGAGGAAGTACGCTGATAATTTTAGTTTGATGGTAGTTTTCAACATTGTTGGAAGGACTAATAATGCAACCTTGACAGACGATCGATTGTCGACGAAATGACTGTGTACAAACTTTACTTAAATTAAAGAATTTTTCAATTGCGCATCATAACAATTCCATTAATATTTTAAAAAACATAGGAGTAATTGATGTCGACGATATCTTAATCACTTTAAATCGAATTGGAATTCACGCTACTAGAGAGGAAATCGATAAAATTCATAAATTGTAAGTCCTAATTATTTACCCAGCCACAATGTAGCTAGTGTACCTTGTTCAAATGCCAATTGTTGATTCCAAGCATTGTTTAAAGCTGATAAGCTTGAGACGATATTAGTAGTGTATGGTAACAAATTTTACGTAATGTATACAGAAATAATAATACTTTTATGGCTAATCTATATGAATGTACAAGTGACGTTATGAATAATTAGGAGCAACTTATAGTGAAACACGTGTAAATTCAACCTGTTATGTAGATTTTAACGTGGCAGCAATGCTTTCACCAAAATATTTAAATATAATAATGTAATAAAAATCGTTAACTCCACTAAGATAATTATCATATTACAGTTAAACTATGAAACGAAAACAATATCGATCCGATTAAAATAAATACTGATTAGCTTGAATCGAAATACTGCTATGACATTGTCCTTATATGAAATAATATGAATTTTTTTACTAAATAGCATGTGTAAAGATGGTAGCGTTAAAGTGGATTGGAATTTGTGGAGAGAGTTATATCTTTTACAACCTTATGCAGATCTTAGTCATTTAGCCCATTCTTGGAAATTAGCAAGGGTAAATTGCGTACCCAACATTCTCAAAATATCTTATAGAATTTGTACAAGTATTCTTATATATGTATGTAAAATGGTATTGTTCCAATAGGTTAGTGATATCAATGAAGACTTGACCGTACCTGATGAATATGCTGAAGCAGTGATGGGGCCTGATTTGTGGTGGCGTATATTGGCCGCTGGTGCTGGTGCCGGAGCAGGTAAACGCGTAATGCTGCATCTATCTTTGGTTACTACGCTATTCTGAAATTAAGTAGCAAATTAAAATACAGTACAACTTCAACATCCACTACTATACTACGCTATTTATGACTATATATTTCCGTTTGTAGTATCGAGGACTATAACTGCACCGCTGGATCGATTAAAAGTATATTTACAGGTACAAAGTTTACGAATCTGGATGATAACAGTCACTATAACGTAAGGTATAAATTCATAATTGTAAGTTTTGTTATAATGACATTATTATTCTTTCTTTCAGGTTCACGCTAGTGGTCAGAATAAACTTGGGTTAAAATCTAGTTTCGAAGCCATGATTAAAGAAGGAGGACTACGATCGATGTGGCGAGGAAACGGCGTTAATGTTTTAAAGATTGCACCAGAATCGGCTATAAAATTTCTTGCTTATGAACAGGTTTCTTGTTGTCAAATAACACTTTCTAGATTTACTGTTAGCTCTTAAATAGATTTTGATTCAATGAATCCTCTGGAGTTTGAGTCATACTATTATATCTGCTATTAGGCAAAACGTTTATTAAATCCCAAAGATCCAACGCAACTGAGTATCAAGCAACGACTTGTAGCTGGATCACTTGCTGGATTTATTTCACAAACTTCCATCTATCCTATGGAGGTCAATGATATTCACTTCAAATAAATCTGTAGCCCTTAAAAATATTATGACTATTAACTTTATATCATATTTACATTCAATTTTCAGGTACTGAAGACGAGATTAGCATTAGCAACAACTGGCATGTATAGAGGTATTTGGCATGCTGCAAGAATTATAGGAGCCAAAGAAGGAATTTCGGCATTCTATCGTGGTTTAATGCCGAGTTTACTTGGTATCATTCCGTACGCAGGAATCGATCTCGGAGTATACGAGGTTTGTTAGCACCTTCTGTATTAGACAATATCATTTGTAAACTACTGATACCTTAAAAGATGCGATATCGTCATAGTTGCGCTATAACAGTAGATAAAATATGACAATTGTATCTACACAGACATTGAAAGTCACTTACCTAAGATATCGTGACATGGATCAATCCGCCGATCCTGGTGTTTTTGTGTTGTTAACCTGCGGTACGATTTCAAGTTCATGTGGACAGATTGCAAGCTATCCGCTAGCGCTTGTTAGAACTAAGCTCCAAGCACAAGGTTAGCTATACTTTATTCATAATTAGTTCAAATGGTGTATGATTACTACTTATGAAAAGCTTTGTTGATAAGCTGGTTAATTTACTATTGACGCCGTTTTATGCCGTATAAAGATATTCACAAATTTTTAATAAATATAAATGTGTAGCGCAAACTATGCCACATGAACCAAGTCCAGGTATGATTACGATATTTCGTAAAATTATTGAAGAAGATGGACCACGTGGACTTTATCGAGGCATACTTCCTAATTTTATGAAAGTCGTTCCAGCAGTCAGTATAACCTACGTGATCTATGAGAGGATTAAACGTACTCTGGGTGTTTATCGGCCTCCGAAACAGTAACGTTATTGTTGTTGTATATTTCGAGTATATATTTCTATTTATCATCTTTGTTTATTACTGTATTTTACATTTGTTTAGTTGTCCAAAAAGTTTCAGATTTTATACCAGATCGAAAGATAAATAATATCTAGCATACTCACTAAGAAGTATATAAAATTATACAGTTTTGCTGATTGCTGCTGATATTAACCGGCGACTGATAATTCAATGTACTACATGTATGTGAGAAAACTGCCACTCATTATAACTCTTCTCATAGAGAATTTCACATTTTGGTGGTTATACATAACTGAGTTAATATTTTCTTATGCGAATTGAAATTAATTATAGCCAATCTTAGCGATTGGAAAAGATTATGTGTTGTCACATTTAATATCGCCGTACTAATTTTTTGTTATAATAAATGCGAAGTCAGTTTCTATAGTTTAAAGGGGAAATAAGTACAGTAGTACGAAGAAGTAATTTACTCTATTTTGAAGGTTATTTATTACCTTATTTGGTTTCAACCATCTTTTGTATAAGTATCTATTGTATACAATCTATATTGTATCTAAAAATTTGAAAATTTCAGGTTATTTCAACAGAAAAATATTGCTCTTTCCATTTTTATGCTGTATTAAGGTCTAACAATATCACAAAGTGTACTAAATTTATTGTCTTATAAATTGGTAATGTAACATTTTAATATCATCGTAATATTTGAATAGGTATCTTTTACACCTTTATTATACGCACTACAATATCCCATAGTGATATCAATATGACAGCACATGTAACAGTTGTTTATATCGTGGTATAAGTATGACTCTTAGGATGGACGTTTACTTTCCTTTTCTGTATTTGGAGGTATAATTCTACTTTTTTTATGTACGCAGTTTATTGTATAAATTACTCGTAACGAGTGCAGTGCAGCACGTTATACTGTCTACGATAGATTAAAGTATTATATCTGTGTATGCATATTTATTAGCTACGGTTACAATTTCATTTGACCATGACGTTTGCTATGCGAAATAATACTGCTGTTATGCTACTTTTTGCACTTTGTGTATATTCTGACGTCATTTGACTAAATTTTAGAATACAGGTTTATTACAGAATTGGATAAGGATTAATTTAAAATTACCACCTGAGAATAAAATGGGTGTGAATAATACTGTATATCCGGTTTAGGAATACTTTGATGTTTTAACTTGTCAACGGTATTTTATTGTCAGTTCCAATTAGTTTTACAATGGTTAGAAGGAAATTCAAACTGGATAGAAGTGTCAAAAGAGAATTTGTAATCACTTATGAACTGTATCGATACACAATAACATAATGTGTAATGTTGATGGGGATAAGTACGGCGATGATAATCTTGAAAGGATGCAACATTACCGCTAATAGCATCATCTGCTAGCTTTGGTGCTCTCGTTTTAAAAAGCGTTCCTGTTACAGAGCACAGATGCCTATTATTAGCCGAGATGGATTACAGGCAATAAACTTCCAGATTAAAGCGTAACCATCTATGCGTATTTCTGGATGCCATCTAAAACAAATGATAGCATGTACAGTACAGAGCGTGAAACATGCATCTGTGACATATACTACAATGAGGACAATCAGATATTATGGACATGAGTATCTATGCAATAGTATATCCGAATAACGTACATTTTCTATTCCATAATAAAATAGGAGGCGATTTGCTAGATGAACAAATTCATTAATTAATTTATTATCCAAAATAGTGGTAAAAACGCTAGCTCGGAATCAACGGACTAGAAATTACTGAATTACCCTTAAATATACTCAGCTTGTACCCTCTGTGTTGCGTATGCAGAAGCTACTTTACGCATAGATCAATTAGTTAGCAAGGTAACAACCTTGAACGCTCTACTAACGGGTAAACTATGAGGTTATTATGACACTACTGATTTATGATAATGTACTGTAGCAAAATAGGTACATTTCCAATCACAAATCTTAGTTTATAAGATACGTATAGCCTCTGCAGTACTTTAGCAGATAAAGCGACGCAGCTTAACCCACTGATTGACTATTCCTTATTCAATTATTTTAAATTAGATCGCTTATGTTCCATAAGTGAGTATATGATTTAGTTCTTATTATAGCTTTCTTGAAAGGCTATAACTAAGCAATAGCATTTTATGTCCAAGAAAGCCTATATAACCTTTATAAGACGTCTACTGAGCAGGCCAAAAGTATCAATTGTAAACCTGGATTATTGTATAATTTATCATAACAAGCCTGTATAGCACTTTGGTAGGCAAAGCGATGCCTCTACCCCACTGATTGACTACCTTTTATGCAATTATTCTAAATTTGATCGCTGACCTTCCGAATGTGACTATAAGATTGAATTCTTATTATAGCTTAGATCCTTCCTTTATAGACTATCTATATCTAATCAGTGATATTCTATGTCCAAGAAAGGCCGTATGATCTTATAAGGCATCTTTTTGACCAGTTAAAAGTATCAATTACAACCAGGATCAATGATTGCTGTTAAAGCATGCGTAATTGAGTACAACATTATATACAAGGTCGAATTTCAGCGATGAATCCTACGTCAGCTTAATTCTGTGCGCTGATTGGCTACAAAGTTATTGACCAGACGATAAAACTTGTCAAGCCGCTAGATAAGATACAAGCTATCTTGTAGTCTATAAAGTTATAGCGATAACATAGTAAACTAACCCCATCAATGAGCACTCATGATACAAATTATCTTGTAGTCTATAAAATTAGCGAGAACATAGTAACTAACCCTATCATTGAGCACTAATGAACAACATCCTCTCTATTATACGCCAGTCTGCTACTAAAACTTAAGTTATCCTTGAGGGCGATTGGAATTTTGAACCAGCATTTAGAGATTATTTTATGATCTTATGGGCTACCCAAGGACTTGAATTCTAGTTCAAGAATTTTTAGAATTTTTGTTTCAAATCTCGGTTGTTAGTTGAGTTATCAATAGACTTCTATCGTGATTGAAGAAGAAGATCGCAATTAACAGGACTTACCAGCAGCAAGAAGTGTTAATTTCATCGATTCTTTTCTGTCATCTCAGGTAAAATTCTATAGAAAGATAATGACTAGAGAATAACTGACGTGAATGTTTTGAGCATTTCTAATAGTGATATTCGCCACAAGTAACTAATCATTAATGAACTAATCAAATGCTATTTTATTTTAAGGTTGTATCTTATTGAATACAATATGTAATTAAATTAAAATATTGTCATTTTCATCGCTATAAATTTCATTTTATCGTGTTTAGATAGATTGAAAGAAAAAATTGATCCTCATGTATATACAGGCATAGAGTAGCAGTGTTTGAAATATTTTCAAGAGTGATCGTAATAGAAAAATTTATACTGTAATTTGTCAAATTACGTTTCACCTTTATCATTCTGATAACCTGACTAATGGAATTGATAATTAACTGATAATATTATATCACTAATCCTAAGTGTCATTCTTCATCACTCAGGAGTTATTTTCGCCATATCCTACTTAATATTAATTGATCCAAACTTTAATTCTTATATTGCGTAAGGAGTATCTAGAGCCCTCTTTCTATTCAAAAGGACTGATGTTCGTGTATAGCCTATACTAACTTAGTCATATCGAGGAGTAAACAACTCTGGAGTATCGTGTCGGTTAGAAAATTTACTTTTAATTAGTCAGGTTACATCTTACTTTTACAGTTTTAATCGGCTGAATGGATATGACATGAACACACTCTATCACTACTCCCAAGTATCAATCCTAATCCTTGTAAATTTGTTTCCTCTCAGCATTCTCGATATTTATTATTCGAACCTGAATGAATAGATGACTAAATTAGTATGTGAAGTCATTTGAACCCTCTTCTCGTTTAGGCAGATCGATTTGTGTATATATGCATTACGAGCAAATCCACCGAGTAGTATTTGTGATAATTATTAGAATGATGTTGGTTATAGGATTTGCCTTTAATTAGTTAAATGATATTCTACTTCTACTATATCAGTGGATGGAATGGATTACAAATGAACATCTTATAATATCGAGTTATTCCTTATCTGGATAGGTTTTGTTTTATTACATTGTACTCAATATCAATCGACTATTACTGTAATTAAAATATCACTAAACAATACCTTAAGTCGAAAAAATTTCCTAAGTGAATGTTACACCAATTGCCGAATAAAAGTAAATTAACAAGAATAGAATCATTAAGCAATCGTAAATGAGCATATCAAGGAGAATTAGTCACAGTTCAATGGTAGTCTATTCGATATAACTATTATTCTTGGTTTTCAAAGAAAAGTGATAAAACGACTATGTTATTTCATTTACATTGCCATCCATGTAAATCTTTGTGATGGTTTCATTCTAATGCTGTTATTAAAAATTACAGGTTATCACCATGGCTGCTCCGACCAGCTTTTGGCGAGCATCTTACTACGCCAGTGATGATAGTAGTGAAGATGAACTACAGAAATCTTTTGGTGCACAAGCCAGTCGAGAGAGTTTGCAGTTAGGATTACTATTTCAAGGGAAAGATCTGTATCATGAAATTGATGAAGTTTACCGTCTCTACCAGCAAGGATTGCTGACTATTGACGAATTGAAGCTAGTTTATCTGGAATTAAAATCAAAGTATGAAAATTTTGTACTCGATTATTCGCAGAATAAGCAGTACCATATTCAGGCAAGGTAAGAAAGCAGGTTATCGATCTCCACTTTCCATCCATCTTACCTCTCGATAGATTAGCAAACAAAGCTTGATACCCTTGCCAATTTACTGTATTTTAAATTAAAGTCTCATTAGTCATTAAATTAATTTCTTACCTTAATCTATAAAATAATATTTTTTTAAATATAATTCATACTCTTGAGCAGAAAAGGTACATTTTGTTCCACCACAGCCAGCACTATCCAATAGTTATCTAACTGTACTGCAATCCCTATCATTAGTGGACATTTGTGATCATATTGAATTGTCTTAGGATTTATGTTCTTAAATCTAAGCTATAATTTAGAAACTGTATTATCATTTATTTATTATATTAGAGATTATATCACGTTACTTCTGAATTCGTTAAATCTCCGATTTAAATTATGTAGTCAAAAATTAATCGTCTAGCTTTCATTTTCTGTATCGTGAATTATCGTCTATAATCCAAATCGTCAAAGTAAATATGTACAACATTTTTCGTTATAATACATATATTTATTACCGTACGGCATATATCAGATTTATCCATGATGTAGCAACTCCTATTACATCTGAAGATACTGATGTCGATATCGAGGTAATAATATTACCAATTGCACATGTAAAATCATCACTACTTTGCTTATTTCAGTCCATCTGTTAATATTCCCTCAGGTCATCTTTTTTAATTGATTCACTATTTAGGTTGCTGAATTAAAGCAGAAGTTGGTACACATCTTTACTGAGATTGATAGATCACAAACCTTAGCAGATAGGCGAACTAATCAGTAAGTAAAACTGCTTTCTGCTATATGAGGAGAAGGAACATTATCTCGTAAGCTTTTTTATAATGCGATTTTCTTATCTTCTAATAATTACAGTGACGATGATAATGATGATAATTATTCAGTAGAACTAAGCTCTCATGATAGTTCTGAAGGTAGTGAATACGAAGAGAAGATTCAACAAGCAATTAAGTAAGTCTATTAATGATCAATTGAATAATTTTCATTGGCTGGGAGGGCTATAGCAGGTGATCGTTTTTAATAAGCAGAGCTTTAAGTGATGACTCGTCAGGAATATCCGAAGAAATACCTACTAGTAAAGATGATGAAGAAACTAGCCGTATTAAACAGTCCAGTGATCACGACATGAATGCTGAAAATAACCAAAATCAGGATTATCAAACTAATAGCTATGAGAGAGAATCTCCTCTTAATAATCAACAAATTACATCTGCCGATGAAGATAGAAAATATGGAAGCTCTGAGCAATCAATTCAATCTGATAAAACAGTAAAACCTTTTGACCAGCAAAGCATGAGTAAAGACACTGAATCTCAGGAGCATCAAGTAATCAAATATCGTGATTCTACGCTAATTAACTGCCAAACAGACGAAGAAAATAATGCTAGTTCTCAAAATGATATAAAGTCGAATACATCCACGCAAAAATTAGAGGCAAATTCACCAGAATCTGCTACTGAGGTAAAGACATACTTAGAAATATAATTGATCGTATAAAGAAAATATCGATCTTTATAAAACATTTGTATTTTTAGCCCGTAGTTGGTGATTGATCCTATCATATAGGAAAGCATCAAGAATGAAGAGGAAAATAGCGATCTTTATTAGTCATTTGTATTTTTAGCTCAAAGTCTGTTATTGATCCTATCCCATAGGAAAGTTTCAAGAATGAAGACGAAAATAAAGATCCTGTACCTGCAGTAATACATGAAGTAGAGAGTCAGACAGATCAAAATTCGCAAATTAATGCCGATACTATAGCATTAGAGATAAAAGAAAGAAATGAGTCTGTTTCCTCTTCTAAATCTGAAGATGTAACCACTTTGCATGATGGAAGTGCCAGTATACCGGGAACTTTAGGCCAAGCAAGTAACGTGGTAGATGATGATCAAAATCGATACACAAAGTTACCTATTCCTTCTCCTTCATCACCCTCCGATGACGCTCATAACCTTAATATCAGTGTAGTTCAACATTCTTTACAAAGTGACAGAAATGGTCTGGTAATTGATGACCACGGGTATGAAGACGACCATGTTGATATTCAATCCGTCCATATTAATAATGATGATGATAATATTGCATTCTATCGAAAAGTAAAAGACCGTTGGTCTGATATTTCGTTAGACGATAGCAGCATTATTACGGTAAGTGAATAGAAGTTATTGAAGTAATTAGATTGCCAGTAATCACGATTGTAAGAAATATTATTTAAAAATATATTCTATAACTATTATTAACCTATATTCGATATAATATTAATTAGGATATTGTGTGGAATGCTACTGATGGCATCAGTAATCCGAATGATCTGATTCAAATAAATAATCAAGCTGAAGATAATGAAGTAGTAGATCAGTCTGTACTGCGACAGGAAATGCGTTATTTACGCGATGATTTAAGATTAAACGATGATTTTACTCATGATATAGAAAATAATCATCACAGAATGAAATCGCTTAACAGTAATTTGATATCAATGGAGAAGGAGCGAACAAATAGGTTTGAATTAAGTGATGGCGATCAATATCATTTTAACTACCAAGAAGTTCGTCAGCCATATGCTCGAAGACCGCTTGACTCGACTGAAGTTATGATTGATGATAGAAGTATTACAAAGGAGAATCGCGAGAGGTCTTTCAATTCTAGTATAAACTCATGCTTTAATGATCATTATCCTACATTACAACCAGATCCAGAGGCTATAGCTCAGTCAAATTATAGCAGAAATGTAGAAGAAGACTTAGATCGACCATAATAGTCCATTACTACCAATATCTAATATATTAACTGATGGAGTAAATAAGCTAGCAGACGAAAATATATTCTATTATTCTAATAGCAAGTTATTAAGCGACCAATATATTACTAGCTACAAATATCATCGTAATGATGATCCTAGCTTTCTAGATTCGATAGATTTAGCATCAGAAGATGTTGATCAAGCGGAATTAATGAGCGAGCACTTACCTGATTTCTCTGATCCAGCATTATTAGCGAGAGATATTATAGCTAGACAGATGGATGGTAGTAATATTGAAATTGGCTATGATAGCTTTTCGAAACCCAATGATAATCATAAGATTTTAGCAGAAAGTAGTTACTTGCTAGATGTTTCTAATAGACCATCCCCTCCTTCAAATTTCCCACATCGTAATGCAGATATCACCAAGAGTCATGAGTACGGTGATGAAATCCATTATAATCTATTGGAAAATGAAAAGATCGCGAAAGATCAGGATATAGAATCTATTAATGCAGATATTGGAAATAGACGGAATCTCGCAAACTATCATATCGATGAGAATAACAATTTTAATGAATCACAGACAATTAACAAAAATCGTAATGGAGTCGATCAACGGAATGAAGAAAAATATCAATATTCTCGTTCAAGCTCTTCTAACTTTTATCGATCTGATCCTTCAGTTTCATCTTCTATCAATGAATCAACTAGCCTGTCCGATGATGTAAATACAGTTAGCTCTTCCAACAACAATTTATATGCTAGTAATTATAGAAGCCAAGACAAGTCATTGTGGCGTTCAAGTCCTCTTTTAAATATAAAAACAAAGTATATTAATGATTTAATTGAAGAATTGTACCTTAGCGATTATAGCGATTCCGATGATGATTATTATCGTTGGAGCCATCGAAGAAGTAAAAAACATGCAAAATCTTGGCAACATCGATCAAGAAATAAACATTCTCGTCATTCCTCTAACTCAACTGATCATAAATTAATGCTTGATAATGATTATAATTATAGCACATCAAAGGATGCATTAGACGATGACAATCCTATTCATCATCTAGATTATAGTCATAAACATGAATTGGATGAATACAATTATACCTTAGATCGGGGCGAGCTATCACAAGATCATCAAGTTGCTAAATTAACATCAAGTTCATCCCGCCTTGAAAGGTAAACTCGTATGTATGTATGATGGTAGAAATTACAATCATCATCTAGAGACAAGAATAATCAATCAATCTTTGTACTATACTTTTACCTTAAATTAAGTTGATAATGGGTTAAAATATCTTACTAACTTCAAATGCCATACGTCATATTTATAAATTAACTAAACCTTATTTTTATCTTTAATTATAGAGAAATTGCTAGCTTAAAATTAGATATCGAAGAGATGAAAAGAAATCTATTTTGGAGTTAAATGAGTATTTCCTGATGGGCTTGAGAAGATAAAGCTATAACCATTAGTTTTTTAAGATGGTTTACTTTCTATAATTTATAGAAATTAATCAGAACTCAATGAACAAATGTATAATTTATTCTATTCAGTTTCATATAATTATACTATAAATTTTGATAAATTTATTTATATAAACTTTATTGAAAAGCCAAATATAGATGACATTAATTCCTATATAATTATTCTATTTAATTATCTATCTATACATATATAAATAATTATTGTTATGTATTAATAACGATGTGGAATAAGCAGTACAGTATTCAAATTAAAGTAGTTTTCAAAATTTGATGCGATGGGTATGTTAATATGATGAAGTTTATCTTTATTCAGCATATTTTGCGATACTAAGGATTTTGTAATATACTATAATTTAGGTTATTTATATTACTATTATCATTTCTAACTATAATCTTTACGATTCCGATTATTAAAATAATCTTCCTACTTTAACTGTACCATGTGAAACAAGTAAAAAAGTACTATGTATTACTTTTATGATGTTTGATTAAATTAAATATCATCTGAGAGACTACCTACGTTTATGAGACTATTTTCATTTTGGAATTGTTTTACAGCTAGAATTTTGATGTTGAAGGCAAATATCAGTAATTAAGCAAATGCTAATGTATTGTATGCAACATCTAGGACTTAGATACATGTTCCATTTAATTTCATTAATCCGGAAACTATAATAACAAATTATCACTTACTAATTGCTCAAAAGTAGCGCCTCAATTCTCAACATAAAATAGAATTACGTTTTATCAAACATTCCAATGTTCTGCTCGGTAAGCCATCAAACAGCAAAATAATCACTGCTGTAATTTAAATGTACCATATCACATGCACTTTAGTAATGTAACCTATATTATTCTGGATACTATATATCGAATTTATCAAATTTATATTGTAATAATAATTAATTAATTGTCTACTGTTAAAGTCACTCCTTATATATGAAGAAATATTATGCACACAAAGATTGACATTCAGCCTTTAAATATACAAATGTATCTCCTAATAAATGCCTATTTAAGCTATATTGGCTCTACAGTGAAGTTTCCATAAATCATGAAGGAGGAAATCAAGTTAACTTATGAAATCTCATCCTGTTTATTCATAGCGTAACTAAAGAACGATTTAACATACAGATTATCATGTCACTACTCCAGATACCCAGAAGACATAAATGATATACTAAAATCTTCCATATATGTCATTCCATCATACAGCTACAGTGCTATTAGCAGTGCTATAATTACATACGGTATTAATGTAGATGGCTACGTACATTTCTACAAATCTATTTTCGGATCAAATATCTTTCAAGCAAAAACATAATAAATCAGATGCCGCTATTTCAAAATGCTGAGACTATCATCTATTCTAACCTATTTGAAACGTGGAAATACAATGGGCTAAGATTAAAAGATCAATGACTTTAATACTGTAGACCATAAATTTGCGTAATATATCTATTGCATAATCAATACGTCAGATAGCTAACATAAAATTGAAGTGTCTATTATATCTAATTACAAATAAGAAACTTAGGACAGATGATCGTATTATAATCAGTAGTATTAGCTCTTGATAGACATTGCATTTATCTCTGTTGGGCATTTATGCTAGATTTTATTTCTAGATTAAAAGGGAAATGGGTACTACTCGGTACCGTTCGAAATTCAGTCCATAATTAACTTTCCAATAGTAGCTTAATGCCATTCAGAGTTTGTATTAGCGCATTATAGAATTCGGTAGCGCTTGTTTTTGAACAAGAGTTAAAAGATGTAACTGAGACAATGAAAAAATTGGAACTAATATTGTAAGATATACCATAACCATCCTCAACGACTGGTGCAAAACATGCCACTGAAGTATCTGTTGGAAGCGTTACCTGTACATATCAACAATAAATGATAGATAACAAAGCACATTAGAGAATATGAGTAACAACTACCTTGGAAAGAATAAAAGCAATTGAGCAGGGAAATTTTATGTAGGCATTTACGTATTTAAACCGTACTTACTTGACTAGTTGAAAGCTTAAATTGGCTTAGAGTATTGTAAGTGGGGTCACTAAATATTGCTGGTGTCTCCATTCCATTTTCTAACGCCCAAATCTTCATTCCAAACAGGTGGCGATCCCAGCCTTGACCCATACTAGCCTAAATTAGCAAAACAATAATTGCTCGACTATAAAGCAAACGCTAAGTATAAATTTGATATAGAAAAATATCATTATGGTATTACAAGTAAGGTATCGAGCTTGCATACGGACTATATTCATTAGCATAATAGAGTTAACTTAGTTTGATAAAAACCGCAAAAAGTATGGTACCTGTAAGGCATATTTTTTGTGCACTTCTACCGCCTTCCTAAAAAGCGCTTTCTTCTGATCATTCTGTTACAATGGAAAACTTGTCATTGGAAACCGTTCATCATTGTTATGCAACCTATTTAAAGATAAGCTATTTACTTAAAATATAGCCACTAACCGAGACAGAATCTGATAGAAATGCGTTAATAAATTCCACAGATTCTACAGACGTTGACCGAATAACTTCTGTTCTTCCAAGTAGAAATAATTTGGTTGCTCCGCTTTCGTACTGCGATGCTATTTCTTTGTGAACTCTGTATCAAACTTACCTCAGTCAATACAATCCTACAATATAATCTTTCTAATACACTTATGTTGGAGTAAACAATAATCGGGCAGGTACACTTACTTGTAGTATGCAACTTGAAATAATATTTGCATAAAACTGTCAGGGCTCATTTTCTGCGATTTAATAAATTCTTTGCCATATTCTTCCCATTTTAAAATCTCGACGCTGATATCATTGATAGTGCTAATCATAACGAACAAAAATTGAAAACACCATTACTCAATTTCTCATGGCCACATCTTTATCAAAGGATTTAGCTATGTGTCATCCACTGTTAACAGAGAAGTAATAATACTCACGAAGCAGCTTCTACTTTTCCTTTCCGGATTCGATTTTCTAGATTCTCGTTGAGATTCCATTCTAACTTTTGTATAGATGGTAGCTCTGTCGGTTTTAAATCATTATCGGGACAACCTCTAAAAGTTTTTAAAATTATTTTTATTGCACGGTTGCCATAAAGCTTCGAACTTAAGTACTAATTTATCATATAAATACTGTATATGCTATGAAATAATTCAGATGAAACAAAATTTTGGTTGTTACTATTACCATAGACAGTCCCTTGACTAAATGCATGTAATTAATTAGTGATTATTAAAGCAAGCACGAAATATAGTAAAATTATAAATCTGCAACTCAACAAATATACATTATTATCTCTATCCAGTAGCATAATAAATTCATCATATAATGCAATGATTCCCTATTTAATTAACATTATCCTTAATTTTTTGGCGCCAAAGAATTATTCAAGTTTAACTACCTCTCACTACTTTACTACAATAAAGGCGTAACATAAACTTACGACGTCTGTATGATTTGTTTGCACAACTCAAGAACTGCAGTACCATCAATTGCGGAATGTTCTCCGATAAGTGTAACAGATCCATCAATTCCAACTGTGATCTATTAAATTTAAACAAAAATAGCTATCTGATTTCACTGTGAACAATATAACCAACAGCTGGTTACTAGGGCTTTATTTACCTGTAGCCTTTTATCGTACCACCTGTTACAAGCGTCGCCTTCTATGCCACAGCCCGTAAGTAACTGTTTACAAATTGTTGATATCGGCTTCTTAGCTTTGATTTGATTTCCGTCATCTGTTTCTGCGCCCAATTCATGAGATTCGATAGCTAGAACAAAAAGGCTTTTGATAATCTTCTCCAGATTATTGGCATTCGTCTTATCTGTATCAAAAATAGTTAATAAGCATAATACTTCACTTAAAGCACAGCTAGGGCTTTTATAAGAAACGAATATTATTATTATAGAAAACATATATAATGTATGTCAGAAATAAACCGTTACCTTTCATTAATTCAGTATAAGCTTCGAAACACGAATCACGATTGATAGCAGTAAAAACGCCTACACCTTTTCCTCTATCTTGGTGTTTCTCGGTAATTTCTTTAAATATCCCATAAATATCTGCTACCGTAAGAAACTTGCCGTCTTTAATAACGTCAACGCTGAAAAACTATTTTGTAGCGCGCGGACAAACATTTCAATAAAATTAGATATTAATTCGTTTATATGCCATATAAAACGAAAAATCTGATATGTGAACAAATAAAATTGTATCTGTTGGAGAATAAAGCGTAGTTCTTGAAATGTTAAACTATCGGTTAAAATATTCTACTATTCTACCTGATCCTTGTAAGCAACAATCAAATTTGATGGTTGTGGATTTTCGGCGGTAAACGTTGCAGCGGAGTCCAATTTCTCTCCCGGAATACGATAGCCATTAAAAATTTTCTTATATTGGCTCATACATATAGCACGGCCGGCAACTTTATCAACTGGTAATGTTTCCCTAAATTTAAAACGCTACCATTAGTATTTGCATACACTTATTTAAAATACTATTTATTGTATCTTATTATTATTAATGTAAATTTATCTACTGATTTGTAACTGTACGCTAGGTATCCATATAAATTTCAATTAATAAATAATGAGAAGGGACAATTTAGCTTGTTTTAGCATCTATAGTCAAGTATTAATAACTTACGATTGAATTGCGTGGTTATGTTGCAGTATTCCAAAAAGAACTTTGGCTGCAAGCCTAGTTAATAAATGTCAGTATATTAACATTGTAATATGTGTCATCTATTCTACAGGTGAAATATACAAAATACGTCGTGAGTAGATTGTAGTAATATGAATTATAATGGTTTTACAGATTCCTTGAAAGTACTCGAAGTTTACTACAAGTAGTATAATATTCAAGTTAGTGAATCTTCTAGGATTCATATATTTAGCTATGTTACATTTACATGTTATGATATATTCACTACATTATATTCTAACTTTCTCAATAAAAATCTGCATATACTACATTATAGTATATCATAGAACAAATTGCATCTATGACTAATGCACTACATCATTAATAGCATGTACGACTAATACATTACCGTATGCATCACTTTGCTAAAATGTAAAATTTACAATACAAACTAAACTTTTCATTCGCTTCATGTTAATTGAAAGATATTTACTTATTTAAATTGATTATAATTATAATATGCGCGTAGCTACAATTAGAAAACAGTAAATAGCAAAGAACGCTTTTCGTTCTCTTATTTACCTTAATTGCTCATCTACAGTCTGAACTGGTCGATAAATTATGGAAAGCACTGGCGAACATTTTATCATTAGAGGTTCTCTAACGGACAAATATGCATATCGTATCCAAAAATCATCTACCTAGATTAATATTAAAAAATCGTATAAATTTTATTACGAGCAATTTTGCAGTAGAAGTGGTTATTTATTAACTCTTTTTAATTTTAAGTAATTCATTAGTACGCTCGACTTTTAGGTCAATTGTTCTATAATATAGCAATATTAACATTATTTAGGTCTATGGCTATTAGTTATGGTAGCAACTATGGTGATGTTGCTCACCCAATTATCGTGAGTCTTTGCTCTTTCTTTCAATTTTTGGGTCAATTTTTCACCTAACCCGCCTGATTTTCCAAATTCTTCAACGATTTCTTTGGTTTTGCTATACTGATCATCACTAACGATGGCTTGTACTGATCTCAAGTACCTCTGTAACGTGTCTTGTAATTTCGGTACAGGCAAGTGTGGTAAGGAATCTTGATACTGGAAAGAAGTTTCAGCCATGATGTTATACTATTAAAATGCCTATCAGAGGAAATTTATAAATATGATTAGCTATCAGTGTAGTGAACTTGCAGCAGTAACGTTAATCCTCTGCAGCAACCTATACATAGTAGTAAAAATATCTAAGGAATCTTCTAAATGCTACAGAAATAGTAGTAAATATATTTTGTCTATAGTTTCTGAGTGAATTCTAACTCCATGTAAGCATCTTAAGATCATAAACATTATTAATACAAAACATTACGATCGGGTTGTTAAGTGCTTTTATAGAATTAGCTATTTTGGAATTGCTACTTTAGAAAGTTGATTATAGGATGTGACAGGATTGGATTAAGTTGGGACAGATCAGAAGGTAGAAGTTATCAACATAATAGACGCTGTATCGACTTAACTTAATGAATTTATATTTAGTTTGACTCTAAATTAAGTGCCATCAATCCAAGTTATTTTCGTCACTCATTTTAAATTTTTACAGGCCAAACATGTGCATTCAATAAATCCTTTAGCATTTTACAATACATATTTAATATTGGACAATTGATTAACCCGTAATGAATAATTGATACGTAAATAACACCAAGTAAATACTGATTTTTTGAAGGTAGTTGTTATAATTATCTTAGACCTTTCTTAGATTATACATCAGTTATTCATTGATAAATTCAAGGTCATTACTCCTGATAGATAATTTCAGGATTGTAATTCTAAAATTTGCATTTCGTTAGAGAATACAAAACTGCCATTTTATTATTTATGGAGCAGGAATTACGGAATTTCTCGGTTAGATTTGATATTAAGCTCTTGTGTGAGATATCAACTACATTAAATCCGTTTAAAATTCTATGGTAGTATAGCGTCAATTGATATTATGTTATAATTAGTGCTACATCAGATTCTAATTATTTCAGCCCATTTAGTCATTAACAGAGAGAAATTATTTAGTTTAGTCATTCAATTGTTTGTATCATTCCATCACTCTTATCATCCTATAACTTAGAGGAGAGCTTTTATTAGTGTCTATTCGATTTAATCTTTAGAATAGAAAAGTGCAAGATAGAATACCTAATAATGGAATACAAATATATTACGTATACAACAATGCTTGTAGACATTATTTCTAGTCAGCTAGTTTAACATGAAAATAGAGAATACTTGCAGCATAACATTTCATGTCTTGACTATTATACGTTGTAATTTGAAAAGTATCATGCTGGGTAATGTGACGTCTTGCTTATGTATATATGAACAAATACACATGCAATTAGATGGATTCAAATAATCATATTGATACCCTCGAGCTGTAATTGTCTACGAACGTCATTTCAAAACCATAGTCAATGAATGGTTCTATTTTATACTGCAGTATTGATAACTACAACGAATTACCGGCTATACATTAATCAAGGTCATTATAGAACATCAATAAATTAAGTTCTAGATCCGTTACGAGAACAACTTAATTCCTGTTTTGACAATGTTCATATATTTGGGTGTAGCCTTTGAGATATTGCTGTATACCGATCACTAGCAGATGATTATGCTACGTACAATTCTAACGCAGATATCGCACTTGCGTTGTTGAAATTTTCAGCTAATTCTTGAACTTTTAGTGGGTGGGTCATGTTAATCTTTGCTTACTCATACTTGTATTGAAACTACTCAAAGCAATGACCATTTCCCGTACACAAGTTAATAAAATACTACCACTTGGAAATTCTAGCAAGATCATGGCTGAAATAAATAACCAATAAAGCCACTGTAAATTTGCTTTACTTATGGTAGAACATTCAGATCATTTGCATATGTAGACTAAAAAAGGAATTTTTTAGCTCGTTTCTCTAATTCAGTCTACAAGAACATTCAGATAATAAGACTGTTGGGTAAGTTCCAGTGCTAGTACTGTCTGTCAGTAGAGTAGAAATTTGACAACTTTTGCATTACTATAGCTATTAAATTCCGTAATCGCTTATAGGATTAAGATACAGTAAGCTATTGTCTATAGTCTATACCCACTGGAAACAGAATTGATCTATTGACGTAAGCTAAAAACTATCATGTTTTGTAGACGTATTTATTTACTTTGAGATCACTGTACTGGGATGGGCTATGCGAGGCCTAATCACGTATCATATTCCGCATGTGCCAGACTGCCAGCCCATGCTTGCAATGCGATCCCTTTCATTTGATATATCTGAATGGTAAAAATTATGAATAAAATGCCTACAAAATACCAATCATTATTATGGACTTTACTTCGAACGTATGTATGATAACTATGCATTTTGGAACAATTTTTACAAAATTGATCCAAAACATTGCATTATCGAAAATTCGTAAGGGATCGCATAGTATAACACATGCAATGAAATGCAGTGGCAAGGTCAGCATCGCTATGTTTATTATTGAATGTTAATGTGCGCCGGTATACCGGCCCAGACTATCCTCTCATGATAAAACTAAGGGGAATTTTCTGAATTATCATTGATTGACATTTCTGTTATTACTATCACAATCAATGACAATTCAGAAAATTCCCCTAAAATTAATTAATGTAATGTATCAAAATAGTTGTACTACTGCAATGTACCAGCTTTCTAGTACTGTGCTATAATGAATTTGAACTGAGAGAAATGACAGACCGAATCAGCATTGATCTAATAGACCTTTGATTAAATTAGTTATTAATGACCTTTTAACCCATAATAATTATATTATTCAAGTTTTTTTTTTATGTCAAGCATCGATAGCAAAATGGGCCAAGCAAGTAAAGTTAGAAAGCATCGTTGCATTAAACATTTTAGCATTTTAATGGCTATTCCTACGATGCAGTAGATGAACGAATAAAAAGTCATGTCTGTGAAATTGAAACTGTGCAATATCGAATTAACAAATAAAGTCCAGAATCATCAAGCTCAAAGCATTCACGATGGCCTTGTTGATATGATACATTAAATATGTTGCTTTAAAGGCCGACGGCGATATACGTATATTACCTAGATGAACCTCGCCCTGAAGATGCTCAATATAAGGGACACAAGTGTGACTGCCAAATCTTAAGGTATCTTTCCCCTCGTCCTCTTGAATTGAATAGAAATTCGACAGCAGAATGAACCATAATGAGTGCACCACGATAGCAGCGCGTTCAGTAAAGCTGATATAAAGTTGGCGAAACCAAAGATGTTCGTGTTCATATATGCTGCGAAAATTGGGCCTCTATTATAGTGCTCAAAAACTGGATAACATCCACTCTCCTCTGCGATAAAGAAATGTAAGATTTCCTTTTTTTATCCCTTACGTATCATTCACGAAAAGCGTGAATTAGCAATATTGCACATTAGTAGCCTGGAGTCACCGAGCCTAGGCTCGCTCGAACCTTTTAGGCTTACGTGCGAATTTATCGTCATTATCGCGTGTAGCTAGCAGAGTATCGCACAATGATAGAAATAATCACTGAAAGTGGAAAAAGAAAAAAAAACAAATGCAAAGCTAATACAAGACTATCGATGTCATGTACCATTCATTTTAGAAGGCCAGTCATAATGTAACCTAATTCGATAAGCTTTTCAAATATACAGTAGTATATGTCTCCGGTACTAAATATCCCCTCATTTTACCACTATAGGTTCTATCACTAGTGGTTGTATTAATAAATCACATCAAACGTTAAAAAAACAATCAGTTCCATTATGTTGAAATTCAGGTCATGATATTGATAAACTTGACACCGTTAACATTGATCGAAACAAGGTAGAGGAAAGGTAAAGCTGGAGAATCAATATTAACTTACACTTGGTAAGGAGCACGCCAGTAACTGCAATCGATGCCACTGAAAATCCTAAATGCCACAATTTTATCAATCTGACGAGCTATATATAATGCTGGTACAGGCAGTACACACCAACAGTAAAATGAGAATTTGAGTGAAATTAAAATATAAAATAGACAAAGTTTATAAAGTCTTAAAATAAATTTTGACCTTCTATTCTTGGTCATACCGTTATTATACGAGCTATTGTTATGGTAATTTATGCATTCTAAGTACAATGCTCCATGCCATGATGGATGCTGTGAGTAAAATATTCTACCAACCTGGTCCAAACATATGTCGAAGGTGCAACGGTAAACAGCCATGGTTGACATAGTATTACAGCTGATTGAGGTTTGCGATGTTATTTTGCACGTATCCCTTGTACGCTTCCGTGTAAGACATTTTGGATGATTCTAAAAGGACATGGTGAACTTTGGAACTTCATTCAGGACACTATTGTTCTTCGTATAATACATAAGCATTGTAATTTAATACTAACAAGCTGCTTTTCCAAATATATATAAATACATGCTGTTGGCATAATTAAAGGTAGCCCCTGAATAACCTTTCACCTCTTTTAGCCGAGGAAAGCTGAAGACCCATGCGTTAAACGCGGATTTATCCTTCTACTATGCGTAGTGTTGCTCTTGACTGTGGACTGTATCGATCACAATAGTAAAAAGCCCTGATTGATCACTGTCGATGGTTCATTATTTCTGTCATAATTTTCATCGCTTACGTGGCCTAGCGGTCGATCCGGAATCCGTTACTGATCAACTTTCCGACATGAAACGCTACTACGTGTACATAACAGTATCGAATTTCGACCTTACTAATGTTGGCTTCAACGACACAATTCCAACACATAACGATGATCTCTGCGATATTGTTATATACTGTGTGATCACAGAATGCACTCTTTTTTATCCCCCCAAAAATTAAAAATAAAATTAAAATAATAATCAAAAATGCAATAATAATACTGTACTGTACTGTATATATATGTTATATATATACATTAAAATGAAGGTACACTATAATCTATAGCTACCAGCTATCGCATTAAGCACTAATGAGCTACTGTACTAGCTGCTGCTTTCTCACACCTTAAACTGGAAAATGAATTAAAAGACACGAGTCAAAAATAGTCCTCGATAGCACATCAATCATGATGTACTGTATGATTCTGATTCAGGTGGATGAAGGAAATTTGTCCTGGGTTTATAGTATATATATTTTAATTGCAGTTTATTGACGAGATTTTAGCTGCTATAGCCATATTCCCGATCCTGACCTGCGAGTACATTTCGAGTATGCATTACCGATGAATTATAATGAATTATAATAATAACAACTATTAGTAGTAGGTAAGATACATAGCAGTCTATTGCAGGGAAGTCAAATATCACTTCGAACTCCGGATTGGTGTTTTATGACAAAAGGATAACGACTATGCAGATATAGCTGCTGCTACTGTGTCGAAGTACGAATTTCCATGGAATGTGATGGGCCTGATGGCAATATGTTACTTGACAAGTCAAGGTGACTATTGTACTGTACAGTACTGTACAGTATGCCTCGGCCTTGCTGTACTGTACACTGTACACTGTACACTGTACAGTACATTGTAAATAAAAATATAAATACTATCAATGACTGAATGTCTAGTTGTAACCATAGAGATCTCTATCAATAGACGAGTACGCTGACACTTCCAGTAGTTCATACTGAAACGGGTACTGTATCCGGAGTCCAAAATTGGGGTACTGTACAATGTACATTTGTCATCGTTAGCTGATTCCAGTTCAGTAAAAAGAATAGAGGCTCGATACAGTCGATTTAGTCTACTAAAACTATTTTGCTGGTCATCTCAAGTCAACCGTATATCTGAAACGATACACGTCCACGATTAATGTCCTTGATGTCCAATTGTCCATGCATACAGTACAGTACAGTAACTGCTCAAGTGCATTCGTTCTCCGTGCTCTCTACTGTACTGTACACTGTACACTGTGTACTGTACTGAGTGTGTACAGTATAGTACTGTACAGTACAGGACAGTATATGCGCATGACGATGTACTGGATGTATCCGTCCGTCATACTTCGCTAAAAGTCTTCCAACTAGAGTTCCAACACCTTTGATTAGACCTGAAAAAGGTTCCATTACTTGAATGTTTTTGGATAAGAAATACTGTACAGTGTGTACCATAACATTTTGTCACTTTCGGGCAATATTTTTCTTTAAAAATACAGTAAAGCTATATTAGAATGATATATTAGGTTGATGGAGAGATTCTGAAAGATCTAAATGCTATGGAATGTAACAACTCTTAATCAGTATTTGCTTATTAAGATCACTGGTTGATGCTTTTCAAAGTGGCAAAATACTTTGATACACATTGTACATGTACAATGTAGAGTACGGTACACTGAACAGTACATCAGGTGAAAATAGAGAGGAAGAAGTACTGTACCATCACTCTTGGATGGACAGACATTTTCCGACTTACTTGGTTATGGCAGTACAGTACAATACTTTAGTATGCAGACGGTCGATTTGAAATTGACCGATATTTTCTCAATTAAGTAATATTACATTGAACCTTATTGTCTGCTACTATAATTTGGCTTGAAAACAGTCATATAAGATCATAGACACTATTGAAATGAAACCCAGTCATTTAGAAACTAGACATAAAAGATCCCATACTAAGTAATCGTTTTTCCATATTGGCTCCGGAAAGTCCGTCTGTCTGACTGCTCAGTCGTCTGTACAGTCCTCTGTCCAGTGTCTAGTATTGTCTGCTACTATAATACGGCTTGAAAACAGTTATACTGTATAAGATCGATCATAGACACCATTGAAATGAGCACCAAGTCATTTAGAAACTAGACATAAAAGATCCCATACTAAGTAATCGTTTTTCCATATTGGCTCCGGAAAGTCCGTCTGTCTGACTGCTCAGCCGTCTGTACAGTCCTCTGTCCAGTGTCTAGTATTGTCTGCTACTATAATACGGCTTGAAAACAGTCATATAAGATCGATCATAGACACCATTGAAATGAGCACCAAGTCATTTAGAAACTAGACATAAAAGATCCCATACTAAGTAATCGTTTTTCCATATTGGCTCCGGAAAGTCCGTCTGTCTGACTGCTCAGCCGTCTGTACAGTCCTCTGTCCAGTGTCTAGTATTGTCTGCTACTATAATTCGGCTTGAAAACAGTCATATAAGATCATAGACACTATTGAAATGAGCACCAAGTCATTTAGAAACTAGACATGAAAGATCCCATACTAAGTAATCATTTTTCCATATTGGCTCCGGAGAGTCCGTCTGTCTGACTGCTCAGCCGTCTGTACAGTCCTCTGTCCTGTGTCTAGTTATACTACCGTACTGTACACTATACAGTGTCTAGTCAAGTAATGTTACTATGGTCGGTGATGAGTCCATCGTCAAGCTCCCGGTTGACGCTTGATTGCTTTCACATACAGTACACTGACCCGTTGTGTACTGAGAGCGGGCCAGTAGGCACCGACCCTGGTGCGCAAAGTAAACCTGGGCAGTTTATTACCCACCATTGCTATTGTTGGCTAGGCTCTTCTATAGGCTTCTACAATCCATGGTGTAACTCTATGGTACAGGAGAGAAACGCCTTCCAAAAATCCGACATGTTTACACCAAGCGCTGCATAATAATTTGACCATGCAGTGATTATTTGCATACTCTACGGGCAGCTTTCAACCTTGAGTGGCAGTATTACAACGTAGTAAGGAAAAAGTCGAGAAATAGGGTATTCAGATTGTAGACTGGCTGTTGTAGTTACTTATTGGCACTGCACTGGTAGCAAAAATACAACGATCACGCCGATGATTGATATCAATTGTGGATAATTCGACAATTAAAACGTGATGTCTACCTATAGTACGAGGTAAGCGAATAATTCAATCTCGAGCTAGTAGGCATTTCTCTCTGTCATTTTCTCATAGTAAACCATTTTTGATATCTATTCCTATCTTTCTATTTTACATTGATCTAGGGTTGACCAATTTAAAAAAATTTTAACTGAGGATAAGCTCGATTTACATCAATTACGCCAATTATGCTTCAATGGTAAGATCCATTTTTGGGGGGGAGGGGGAGAGTGAGCATTTATTAATGACTCTATTTGAAACAAATTGAAATTAGATAGCGCTGCTGCCTTCGACATATATAACCCACTGTAGGCAGTATAGAGCTCGTCTGAGTAGAGTAATCAGTGTACAGAATACTGTACTGTAATATCAGTAACTAGTCCCTGCAGAATACCTACATCCAACAACAGTTGATCACACACTGCAGTAGTTAAACTTGTCAGATAGATACAGTCGTCCGCCGTATATGGACGTTACTTTCTGTACCAAGCAATCGAGTTACATTATGTAGAATAACTTGATCAGGTAAAAGATATGTACTGTATACAAGATAGCCTGCTATCAATAAATTCTTACGGTATATTGATTTTTCAACCGATCACATCGAGCAAAAATCCAAATAAATTGAATTATGATCGTTGAATCTTTCCACTGCCAATATCTTGACAAAGAATGCATAATTGTTAAGCTTTTTACTTATAACCCAAACTTCAACTCAGACTTTTCCATTCACTTCTTAATAATAGGAATTCCAGACATTGCATGGATAAGGCCACTGGCTTGGAGGGTAATTAATACTCGTATTATTCCTATTGCATCTCTTGTCCCGGATACATTGTTGAACATATGTAAACCATCATTGATCACCGTAATATTCTAATTAATTAACTTTCTATCGAATATGCCATTATACACTGTACAATACAATATGCGGTACTTACGACCTGATGTCTCTACATTAACTATTTATCGATAAAGAAATATTTCCAGTTTATTAAGTTATCTTAATTTATTGTCCCGTCTTGGATCATAGTACTGTATATTATAATAGTTTACATACGAGTATACTGTGTAATAGTTGATATGTTGTTACTTTGATAAAAAATAGTAGCGAGATCACTGTACAATGTACATCGTTACGCTGTACTATGGCCTTACTATATTGGATTAGCCAACTGCTACAGATACCCTCGATTAAGCGATATTTACCACTTGATGCAAGGTATAGCATACGATAGCACATGTTGCTACGAAGTGATTAAAAAATATTAGTACATTTCAACAGTCTTCACAAAAGGCCCATAAATCAGCAGCTGTTTTACTTACGACTACAATTTTAATTTCGATTTAGTACTAGTGTAGCGATAACATGTCATGCTATAAACTGTCAATCTCAACTATGCAATTAAAGTACCTTACTAATCGCAACGTTTATTTACAATATCTTATGAACGATGTATCGCTTTCAGCTATTATTAGGGTATTTACCTGCCAAAAGATCTGGGTGGGATAATATTCTTAAAGCAAAAAGGTAACATTTTTATTGCAACATAGTATCAATGTTGTACCGTCTGATTAATTTTGATGATATGGATACTTACTGTATGCACTTTTTGCAATTTTCTTCGCGTTCCACAATGCAGAGACCTATATGACAGCTTTCTCGACGATATTATTATTAATCCTAGCCTCGCTGCTGACGATGAAAATGAAGGAGATCATTTGCATGATGTCAATGATCATGTACGTTAGAATAGTACTGTAGCACACTTCCATGAATTGAACATGTCCATAGAACAAATCTCATCAATTCTGTTACCCAATTCTATATACAAATTATTATGGGATCATTTAGCCGCTTAGCCTAGATCCGGAAAGCCAATGGGTGACATACTTTAAGGATAACGAAGTCTTGTCACAAATCGATAAAGATGCTAGGTAGATATCGATAAAGATCACCTTTGCTCCATAAAGTCATGGTGTCATATAATAATTTAACATTTTCCTGACTTGCAGGCGTTTATATCCCGACATGTCTTTCTTTCAAAAAGCAACTGAATTTCCATGTAAGAAAAAAGGTAGGAGTTAGAATCAAACTTATCAATTGACAAACATTGTACAGTAATCAACTAACTTGATCGCACCACTAATCACTATGATCAAGGTTCCCAAGCTCTAAGAAAACGCGTTGAGAAAACTGTATTATTAGAGTCGAAAGTAACGACCAATAGACAAGGTGTTCAAAAGGTAATCATTTATCCATGATTGCTATGATATGACTATTTGTTTGCTGCAGGGCTTTGTTAGTAACCCACGTTAAAAATCTATTCAATTACTAATGACTCCTTGTTATACGGATAGATCAAAAATAAGTCTAAAGATCAAGAGTATCACACTTTATCAGAAGGCGAAGAAGCCCACTGGGAGGTAAGAACTCTTTATCGTAATTTGAAATCTGACTAAATTAAATTGTTATTCTTGTATTGCTCAGCTTTCATTGCTTTAAGTTTAAGCTATTCGTTATAGTTCTAACTAGTTGGCATGTTCTGCTAATGTTTAGGTAGTAGAGAGGATGCTGTTTATTTATGCAAAGTTAAACCCTGGCATCGGCTATGTTCAGGTATACGAGTATTTTGCTAACAGTATGAAGTTTACACTCATGAAAAAAATTAACTTTAAATTCTTATGGTTAATTTGTTTGCGATTCGATCTGAAAGGGAATGAATGAAATTATGGGTCCAATATATTACATTTTTGCTGTTGACAGCAATTCTGAATGGAAAAGTAAGTGACGAGTTTATATTGCGCATTTTTTTCATCCGTTTCCACAGCATTGACTAATCTATGTAATAAATCGGCACGCCTTAGGATATGCTGAATGTGATGCATTCTTCTGCTTCACGAATTTAATGGCGGAAAATAGGGACAATTTTATAAGAACCTTAGATAACTCAGTCTGCGGAATCGGTGGCTATTAAGTCCTTTATACTAATTACTGGTAGCAATACAAATACTTGACGGAGTTTAAATTTTTAATTATTTCATTTACATTATCACTTTCAAGGATTTTGGATGCAACGCGTATGTCAGTCTATTCGCTATAAAGATAGTGCAGTATGGCAAGTTCTCGTAAGTAATTTTTCGTATAGCATGGTTATCCTTGTGGTTGTACTTTATGTTTATCTATGGAAGTACTACAATAGCTTGTGACTGACTTGCTGATTATCCCACAACATTACTTTACACGTTACAGGAAGATAAAGGAATTCGTCCAGAATTTTATTGCTTCCGTTGGTTCACACTGCTTCTATCTCAAGAATTTCCTCTGCCCGGTATTTCTTAATAGCATAACTATGTTCCATTTTGTTTGTGGCAGTAAAATGATTTTTAATACGCTTTTATGTCATTGATTTACAGATGTAATTAGAATTTGGGATTCGCTATTCGCGGAAGAGAATAGATTCGAATTTTTGCTATGCGTATGTTGCGCAATGCTAATGTGGGTACCGCCAGTTGTTAAAAATAATCTTATCATGTCTGTACACTTTAAAAAGCTAACATATGATTTCACTGATTACCTTAATAGTTTGGTTAGAGATGAAATTCTTCAAGGCGAATTTGCGGATATTATCAAAACGTTGCAAGTATGCATTAAGCGCATCGTTTGCTACTGATCGAAACTGCTTAAATACACTAAACATATATATATATATATATATATCTATATTTACCTGTACACATTAACGGATTTTAATTGTGGGATTCATCTCAAATATAGAATTATCCAGTTAGTGACGTTCATATCATTCTAAAGAAGGCAGCGGAACTCAGAGGAATGTAAAACGTAATTCCTACACTTTCTTACTGGTGTATCAAACTTCTTGTAAAAGTAATACGCCATTTTTATCTTATGAATTTGTAAGGAGCGAAACTTACTAAATTAGATATTTTTATACCGGTGTTATTCATCAGTTTGCTGATTGTCATTTTGTTGACCAAATAATATTGTAACGGTAACTGTCTCTTCAATCTACAACGACGGCATCTCTTGATCAACTGTAAATAATCGAGTTCATCACCAATGTATTCGGCTAGATCTCTGGGATTGTAAATTTACAATCACAGCGGTAGTATCATATTACATACCGTCTGCTAAATTTTTTCATCTTTTAAATTCTATCAAATATCGAAAATTTATTCGTTATATTTTCCAGCTCTATTGTGTCCAATATATTTTATTATTATTATTAGTTAGTAACATAGGAAATTACCGAAGGTCAACTAAAAGAAATGGCAAATTAAATACAACTGTCGCTCATTATAGTTGATCATTATCGTTTAAAGAAATTTAATGAATGTGGAAATAAAATTCTTAATCTTTTCTAAAATACAAATTCGCCTTCATGACTAATATCTAAAGAAACGAATTTCAATTACTAATAGAATGTCTTGCTCCTGATACTTCGTGTTAATAATTAGTTCAGTTGTTATAGTGAATAAGTACCTTTAGATATTTATATTCAAACTGAATTTTAATAACAAGTTTTGATGTATATATACACACTCACTACACAGTATATAATTGCATACTTTAATATTGAGCCTTGCAAAAATGTTCCAATTACTATTCGTGAAAAAGTAAAACAGTATTTACGCTGCTTTCGTATTGAACTTTATTACGTATCTAAATCTAAGACATATCTAGCAAGTCTTTTATAGTAATTTAAGACAAATTTTTAAAATTACCGTAAATCGCTTCTGCGGGTGTTCTTTAATCATTACGCTAGAACGAACGTACAGATTTGTGTAACTCCATTGGACTTAAGATTTTACTTTTATCCACTCAAGCACAGATATCAGTTCGTTATAGGACATACAGATGGCACTTTTGTACATAAAAAATACTCAGCTGATAGTCTTTATAAGTCATTGAGCAAAGCCGATAAAACAATACATTGCTAAAGAAAGGAGGTCAAGAATGCATAGGCTTAAATCTTGCTCTATCGCCACAGCTATCAGTTCTTAGTCATCGGTAGCACTATTACACTGTACATGAAAAATACTCAGCTGATAGCTTTTACAAGTCATTGAGCAAAGTCGATAAAATAGTCCATTACTGAAGAAAGAAGGTAAAAAATATATAAGATTAAATCCTGTTCTGCGACAGAGATCAGTTATTGGCCATAAGTAGCACTGCTGTATATGAAAAATACTCAACTGATAGCCTTTACAAGTAATTGAGTAAAGTCGATGTAATAGTCTGTTTTAATTTTTACAGTTAATCATCTAGTAACATATGGTAAATGAATTCATTTATCAATACGATAGCTCAGCATTAAAAAAGTTCTATGCCATTCCACTAAAAATCGATCGCAAAAGAAGTATAAGTCATACATATAGAGCTGTTCTACTGAAATTAATAAACGCCATTGTTTATATCCTATTGGAAGACAATAGTATGATATGTATTAATAGATACGTACAGTATCCAATTGATATTTTAATAAGAGGCCAATCATTCCAATATCATGTGATATTGTTGCTACGGTTATTATTTATCTTACAAGTACAAAGTATCAGAAAGAAGACGGGTAAACTAGATGCTAATTTGATCAATAGTTTAGCATGCAAGTGAAGCAGATTTTAGTCATGTAATCAAGCTACCCTTTGACTTTAATCGTCAAGACTGTCGTTTCTGTATAGGCAGATATCAGAATCAAATATTTCTCTTAATTATTTCATTAAAGTATCGTAATTACCGTTCATATCTCAAAGCGTAATTCTTCAATGCTGAAGCATCTTTCAACAAATCACTTTTTAAATATTGGTGAACTGAATTAGATGATGTCATGTACTGTTCTATCCTTTGATTTTTGTCAACCGCTTTGCATGATAAAAGTAATAAAAAGAATTCTTTCTTGACGGTCTGTTTGATGCACTGATAATAACAAATAATATTGCAAGGTGAAAACTTGAAGCTTAGGTGTACCGAAGGTGCTGCTTGCAATTTCTCATTAAATTGAACTGTCAAGGTAGAAAGGTACCATTCTGAAATTGGCTCATCTTCTCATCATTAGAGTGTAATATAATTGTGACAATGATAAAGCCTGATATGAATCAATCGATATTGCCTAAGATCATATTAATCAACGTATAAATGACTATTATGTGCTAATTACGCGAACAACTGCCGTCTTACTTGTTTCACCATTAGTACATGTTGTCAATTTTTACTTAGTCTCTGATAACACCGTTGACAAGATATTTCCTTTTGTAAGATAGCTTTATTTTATTTAGTGTTAGCAACAGGACATCCTGGAGTAGCTACTCTATGGCTACGATTAAGTATGCAAAAAACAGAGTCGGTAAGAGATTACCGCTAGACTATAACATTAGATATCCTATCGTCGACATCTACTAAGCGTATGGTGATCAAAGGAAGCATTGATAACCTGTTATTTACCGTTAGTAGAGATGACAAAACAACCTTGTAAATGTGGATTTTTACTGATTGAATACTTTCAAGACGTATTTTTATTTTCGATTTTAAGTGATGGATAGAGTGCAATGACTAAACTATAATCAATACTATCAAAAAAGGCAAATGTTCCCATGCTCTATTGACCGAGCTGCTTTAGTGCACGCTGTACCAATCTCTCATGAAGATAAGTTAGAGGATCCAAGCCTTGAATGACCTTTTCAGGTTGAGAAGGGCAGTTTGAAGGCTTTTTAAATATTGAATCATCTTTAATTCCAGGCTTGATGTTGCTAAAGATCTGAGAAACAGCTACTTGCTGTGGTGTCTTACCAGCAACAGGCAAGGTTATCGATTCAAAAACAGGTAGACAGCCTTTGTCGGTTACAGCCACAATACCAGCAGTTTTTCGATCAGTAGACGAAAAGCTGAATAAATCATAATTTAATTTTAAGCCAAGTACTCCACTTCCAAGGAAATTTGCAGTCTTCGGAATACACAGATTGGGGAATTTTCCCATCAACTTGCTAGTAGTACACTTCTTACCAATCACAAGGTATTGAAGACCAGCCTTATAGTCGGAAATGACGGTGATATTGCTTTTGGAAGTGGTGATGCTCTCGTCAACCCTGTATTTGCCCATTTTGGCATCGAGGTAGACATGTAATTTAGCAGCGAAAGTAATATTTTTTTGAGCTTTACCCTTTCCCATAGAATCAAAGCCTCCTTGCAATATCATACCAGACCATTGGCCAGGCACACAGCAAGGCTTTTTCGAGGCATATACTGCAGAGCACAGGATAGCTAAGAATATCAACGAACGCAACATTTTCCAGCTGGAACGAATAACGAATAATGTCCTGACCTTGCTGCTCGTTTGCATTTATAGACATTCCATACGTAAGGCCGTACGCAGCTCACATGACGATTTTCCAGACAGCTCCACTCTACAGTACTGTGCTATGGAGTGGCACTCCATAACACGGATACTCACAACTCAGTATTGAACTGTTACACTGGTATTGGACAGGACTGGACGCCGGTACAGTATACTGACAACAACTGAGATCAAAAGAAAGAAAAACTCGATCAGCACTTGACAGGCAGATATGACGTCATCGCTCCATCGAAATACATTTCGACTGCCTCTCCCTATGTTTGGAGTATTGACTGTACCACTAGCCCTATATACGAGCGTATGATTGCATGGCGCAATCAGTTTCCATGGTATTACTTCATTAATAAAGATACAGACTCTGCAATCGAGAAGATTACTTATGTCTATCTTTAAAACTAAAACTAAGAATCAGGAAATATCCTATTGGAGTTACTGCATTTACCGTTAACTCTATTGAATACTGTATGGTGCAATCAATTTCCATGGTATTACTTCATTAATAAAGATACAGACTCTGCAATCGAGAAGATTACTTATGTCTATCTTTAAAACTAAAACTAAGAATCAGGAAATATCCTATTGGAGTTACTGCATTTACCGTTAACTCTATTGGATACTGTATGGTGCAATCAATTTCCATGGTACTACTTCATTAATAAAGATACAGACTCTGCAATCGAGAAGATTACTTATGTCTATCATTAAAACTAAAACTAAGAATCAGGAAATAATATTCTATTGGAGTTACTGCATTTACCGTTAACTCTATTGAATACTGTATGGTGCAATCAATTTCCATGGTATTACTTCATTAGTAAGGATACAGACTCTGCAATCGAGAAGATCACTTATGTCTATCTTTAAAACTAAAACTAAGAATCAGGAAATAATATTCTATTGGAGTTACTGCATTTACTGTTAACTCTATTGAATGCTGCATGGTGCAATCAATTTCCATGGTACTACTGTGTACTCTGCAATCGAGAAGATTAGTTATTTGAATTATATCTATCTTTAAAACTAGATATGACGTCATCGCTCCATCATGTTTCAAATACATTTCGACTGCCTCTCCCTATGTTTGGAGTATTGACTGTACCACTAGTAGTATATACGAGCGTATGATTGCATGGCGCAATCAATTTCCAAGGTACTGCTTTATTCACTAAAAATATGGACTCTGCAATCGAGAAGATTACTTATATGAGTTATATCTATCTTTAAAACTAAAACTAACAATCAGGAAATAAAATAATATTCTATTGGAGTTACTGCATTTACTGTTAACTCTATTGAATACTGCATAGTGCAATCAATTTCCATGGTACTACTGTGTTAATTAATTATAAAAATAAAGACTCTGCAATCAAGGAGATCACTTATATCTATCATTAAAACTAAAACTAAGAATCACGAAACAACAAACTCAGCTCTTTGACATAGGTAAAAGTCTTCATCGAAAAATACATCAGATGGACACGTTGAAACAAAATCAGCCTTTAATATGATATATGGGTACGTCTCCTATTGACGCATTCAAATGGAAT